ACACAGGGAACGATGCTCCCCCAGCCGTTTTAGGGTGACCAAACAGCCGTTAGCCCAACGTTTGGGTCAAAACGGCTTGCCAATGGAGCTGCAATGCAGGTTGCAATGGCAAAATTATTTGCTGGGTGGAGCCAATATCCAGACATTGGGCCTGATTTGTTTGGTTCTCAAGTGTTCCAAAGTTGAATTGTCCATATATTTTGGGGTATCTGTATTTTGGGGTCTCACTGTACTGTAGAGATATTTGAAATCTTCAGTATCCGTATGAAATTGTTATACGCTTATTATCCCCACAACAAACTGTTATGCTCAAAACAAACCAACAAAAATGAGCACCAAAATCTGCTTTCAAGAAACTCTTATTTTCATTTTCGATAAACGTACTGATGCTGGGTGTATTAAAAAGACTCACTTTCAAATTTGTTGCCAATAAGGCACATATATTCCCTCAATTTTCGTACATGTTTCTAAAAAAAATTCTTTCTCGTTCAATTCAGTGCTCTTTTCAATAAAAGGGATCAATGCAACTGATCACTTGGAAATCGATTTATTATTAAAAGTTTGTAGCATATGAAAAGCTGCTGAGCTTCGGAAATTCAACGAATCTCAAGTTTTGAGACTTACGAAGTCAAAACACAAGCAAGCAAAATAATGTATAAAATTTTCTCTGGTAGGCCTTTTCACGTGGTCAGAATTGTTCAATTCAAAAATACGTTCGAAAATAAATGCGACGCGGAAATATATTCGCTTTCAAATTTCCGAAGCAAAAATAAGTTCATACAAAAATTTCTTGGCGGGTTTCAAAAAGGAACACCCAAAAAACAAAAACTACAGCATCGTGCGTGGAATTTTCCTTAGCGAATCCAAGGTACAGTAATTCGATTACCATGGAAATCGTCAGTAGCTTCGAATATTCCAGCAGTTCGTACGTAACAATTCACGGATACCAAAAAACCCCCGTTTGCCTCGCATAAACCCATCTATTCTTTGAAGACGAAAATTTTGCATTCACCTCGGGATGTCAGAAGCCGGAGGAATCTGCACAGATTCTCGTGGAGGCAAGGGTTTCGGAGGATCCACTTTTGCACGACCATCCGCGCCAAATTCATAACGCTGACGACGCCGAAGTGCGATGCATTTCTCGTCTGTCCCATCGACACAAGGATCTTCATCTTGATGGTCCTGTTTTCCGCATCTTGGACTTACGTCAGCATCGTCCAAATTATGCACAAACTCGTCTTTGTTCGAGGGTACACCGTGTGACGCTGACGAGCGTGACATGGGATCACAGCATTTCTCTTCCTTGATTTTTAAAAATTATGTTCTTCTTGTATAATCTGGAATCGTATTGTTACTAGCGAACAGGTAGAAAACGAGTCAATCACACAATTTTCGTACTTTAATTTTTAATCCTTTTGGAAATGCGGTTTATTTCTATTTAATGTTCAGAGTTGTTGATTGCAATCAAAAATTTGATGGCCAACTTGGACTTGAAATTTGTTCAGAAAATGGTCGCCCAATCTGTATCATGGAAAATCACTGAAATCACAGAAAATCCCCACTCTAAGTTTATTTTGTTCCAATCAGTCTGCAGTTGAAGCAATAAAAAATCAATATGACCTCTTAAATCCATAATTATTTACAAAGTCAATGAATGAAGCTGCTCATAGTCTTCATCGATTTTTAGATCATGATATACATCACTTAGTCCAACAAAAATGCGTACAATGACCCAGTTCTTTGACACTGGTTTTGATTTTGCAAGTTTTACCCCCAAAGCCAACCCTTCAAAAATCAATGCCCAAGTGAAATCACTATCACAATGGCTACGGATTTTAATTGACCAATTTATCTTGCAATAGGTCAATTAAATGGTTGTGATTGCAATTGCAATTGTAATTGTACAAAGTTGTGGCGTAATTAACAACCATCATGCGTAACGTTATTTCCAGGAATGGTGGACAGGTGTCACTGTCAAAATCCTAAAATTTAACCAAATACATCTTTAATCCCCTGGGCGGTAGTGTCGGGATTTATTTGCAAAATTTTTTGCCACAAGGCATACAATAAAGGGAAAACTAGGATCATCAGAAGAGAAAAAGTCTGGAAAAATCCAAAAAAATTCTTTTTGGTAGAAAAATTGTTCTATTAACCTTGACATGTGGCATTTTTTCACTCTCTTTTAATCGGATTAGCATTGGGGGATTTCAGACACATTGATTACCTTTGCCAGATTTCTCTGGACTTTGACTATACTGACTCAAATCTTTGTTTTGGTGACCTTCGGTCAAACCAATATGCAAATGAAAAGTGCGAACATTTCCCAGCACAGCCACAGAATGGAATTTAACCCACCACTGTCCAAGGGTTAAATGCCGTTGCAAAGCAGAATCTCAAGTAACGCGATTCAAACCAAAATGTAAATGTTCCCAAAAAACTTACAAAGAAAAATTATCCCCTAAAGCCAATGAAGGATGAGGGCGACACCTACTCAAAGCCGAAGAAATTTACGGGAAGTCGGGCGTTCGAGTGAAGAGAATAAAATTTTTACCTGCACTTCATCAGCAAGGCATTCTTGGCTTTCAGACTCGTCACGGGCTTCGACATTTTCACCAACTTTCTTTTCAAATTTGAAATCGTGCCCTGGACTAATGCTCAGTGTTTTTGCAGCTTGCTTTCTGAACAAGGATTGTTCCAGTTTTGCGAAACTGTGGCCGAAGTTGACAATTCGTGATGGACTCCTTCCTTTCATAAGGGGCCATTGGACGTTTCCTTTCAGGAAGCGAGCTAATTTGCGGAGGGATGATTCGAGTGAACGAATCGATTACTTTAGAGCATTTCGACAGAAATTTATCATGCGATAGGCCGTATTCTGATAATGTTGAAAATGCTACAATGCTCCTTGAACATAAAGATTTATCCAGTAATTGAATATTTTTAGACTCGGGTCTAAATTTGATCATCAGACGAAAAATCATCGGGGCACGTTTAAATTTTCTCTGGGACTCCGCAGCTTTAGTTCATTAAAGTAAAAACATAAGTTTTTGAATTCGATTAGAAAAATAATTAAGGTCTGCACAGGATTTCCTAATTTCACAAAAATACCATGACAGAAAGCATATTTTTCTCGTAAAAAGAAATTGGGTTCTTTGAGTTAAATCGATTGAAAATTCAGGTCTTACCCATAATGTGATTTTCTTGTTTACCTCCTCACATATATTTGTCGGGTTTTTACATTTAAATTAACTTCTTTCGATCCCATCAAGTGTTCATATTTTGGTTGATTGAAAATATAGTTGGAACTGATCGCGACGCAAAGCTAAATATTTATTTCAGCATGGACGTATTACGTTGCTTCGTTAAATTGTCATCATCCCCCAAAAATTTCGAATCAACCTATACTTTAATCCACTCCTTTTTCATCATTTTTCTGCTACGCATCATCTGCAATTCCTCCGAAATTTAGCACAAAAAAAGCTCAACTACGAAAGGATGAACGAAAAATCGTTATGTGTGGCTCGAATATGTTGTTGCGTGTGTCATGTGAAAACATGATTTAAGTCAATTACGAGAAAAGGCCCAAAAAAACCCCTTTTTCGAAGAAACATGGTGAATTTCAAATTGCGTTGGTTTTTCACTTTGTCAGAATATCATAAAATTCCTCACCGAAATCAGATTCTAGTCCGAGCAAAGAGGGAAGAGCGTCGGTCTTTTTGGCTTTGAACCTTCGCGATGTGGAACCGTCTCCAGTTGCCCAAAATTTGGCATCATTTTTCAAAGTTTTGAAAATACTCAGAGGTCTGTGAATGTTGTTAGAAGCCGTTGCTTTGGAAGTGTGACAAACTTGATCCGCGCAAGACGCAGAAATTTCCTCGACAACCTGGGTTTCCCTTGTCTTCGCCTTTTTCGACTGGAAACTCGGGCCGCCTTCGTCAACCATCAAAGGGGGATTTTCGGGAAACAAGTTTGCTCGGGAGTCCCCAGAATATTTCACGCCAATGTTTGCAGGGAATTCGTCAGAGAGTCTTTTGGCATTGCCGAAAATTTGCCGAAACGCGTTTGCATGATGGTCATTATCCGCATCAGGTTCATTATTATTTTTGCGTGGGACGAAGGGATCGTCAGTTTCATCTCGGGTTTCCGTGACGGAATCTGAGAGAAGGCATTTGAAATTTGGTTTGTCTTCTGAAACGATCACTGTCGATGTTTTTGGAACTTTCTTCTTTTTTCTGGGGTTCAGAGGATTTTTGTTGTTGAGTCCAGAACACGTGAAATTTCCCGGAATATCTCGAGGCCATGTTTTCTCTTTCACGAGTCTTTTGATGATCTGAAGAAAGAACAAAAACATGTAGAAATTTTAGACGAAGGACCGATCAGCTGACGTTATTTTTGCTTCCAAGAAGAGTATTATTTTCACCATGGTAGTGAAGCAATTTTTTGCCCATAACGTGAACCAATGTTTTTCTCCCGTATCGACATTGAAATGTTTATTGCTCCTTTTACACGTCATTTATTGGCCAAACCTCGCAAAAGCTTCATAACATTTTTAAGACGTTAATTTTCAAAGAAGGCATAATATTAAAATTCATGCAATTTTTAAAGTTTAATTACTGTATAGTGAAACAATTTTTGCCCGGAAGTTGAACCAGAATCGATATCGAAATATCAATTGCTGGTTTCACGCTTCATTGACCAAACCTCGTACAGTATATATTTGCAATATATTATAGTTGAGGAAAATTTTTAAAATATCGATAAAAAAGCATAATACTGCATTAAAAATTTAAAATATATGTGATATTGTTTTGCGTTCAAGTATAGTAGTGAATCAAGTTTTGCCTGTAACGTGAACCAACTATCTAATCTCCAGCAGAAACGAGATCGAAATTCTGATTGCTCGTATAGTCTCACACTTCGTCGACCAAACCTCATGTAAAAACTGAGAAAATAATTGCTTTTTGACATACCTTCTACAAAATCTGAAAATTGTGATATTTTTGTGCTTTCATTGCACTTAATGCATGTTACTGTAATTGAATGGCATATATGAGGGAGAAAACAAAATGGATGATACGACTTACAGCTGCACATTCAATAGGAGCCTCTTCCGATTCAAGTAGCAGCTTCAAGCAGTAGATGTCAGCCTCTACCTGGTCAACTTTGTGGATAACTTCGTTGACACGAAACGTCAACAAGCCGTCGCGAGGAAAATCGGCGATATTCAGGATAGTTAGCAACTGATTTGCTGCTATCACTGATTCACGTATGATTTTGTTCTTGAAGAAAATATGGATAAATCATGAGATGCATTCTCTATCAAAATCACTTTGAAAAAGGATTTAAACTGTGAAACGCGTTGAATATGTTTCCACAATTCGATCAAAATTATTTCAAGCACCAGATATAATTTTCCCTGATCCTTGCACCGATGATTTGCGTCGATGTGATTTCACAACGTTTTTCACTGCGTCAGCAAAAGATTCTTTGATACTGTTATTTTTAAAAATTATTTTTCCTTAGCAGGATTTGAAACTACTGTATATAAATCTCATTATGCGGGTCTCAATAAAAGCCGGAAAAAACAAGAAATACTTTAGCCACAGAATATTCGTATTTTTTCAAAAATAGTATACATCGAAATAAAGTTGTTTTGAATTTAAATTTCCACTTTCACCAACCTGCACGACCTTCATTCTTGACAAAATGGTTCGCTGTTCTTCGATTTCACGTCTAGCATTTTCGAGATCGTCGTTCAAAGCTTGCAAATCAGGTCGAACCATCGGCAACAAATGTGCTATTCCTCCAATACTGGTCAATAATTTCTTTTGCACTCCCAATTCCATCGTCTGTTAATGGCCAAATTATTAGACTGTAACCGCTTCTTTATTAACTATAAGCGCATTGTTTTTCAGTCTAAAAATTACAGGAACAGTTGATGCAGTAAAATCAGTCTTATCGTTAATCTAATGACGTCGAAAACCCGTTTCAAGTTTTCGGAAATCTCAAGACATCGTTTTTAATGCGAGAACAATCAAAGCATTTTAAGTGAAGCCTTTAATTTTTTTTATTCAAGTAGGGGGTTTTACAATACTCACCTTGAAGTTTTTGTACGCCAATCTGTACTTTCCCAATTGTTCGAAGTCATCCTTTACACATGCGTTCAGTTTCTGCAAAATTTCTATTTTTCGCTGAATCATTATCAGTTGATCCTCTTTTTGAACTCTGTCACAGTCAGGTAAGCAAATGTCTCCCATTTTTCTGCGAAGCAACTCTGCGCAATCATCTCTTGTCATTTTCTGCGTAAAAAAATAAACGAGTTTATTAATGCATGCCATTAAATTCCATGAAAAACCACTAATTTGAAGTTAAAATTTTGATTTCAAGAATCGATAACCAAAGAAATTGATAATTGATCAATTTTTTTTTTATTTTGACATAGAAATGAAGTTATTTTTCGTTCAAACTGAGAACGTGATACTGTTTTCAACACGTACCGCGAAAATTTAAATCTACAATATTTATGCATCTGAAAATACATTCCAAAAAACCGACAAAACTCCATCAAACAAATTACAGTGATCTATGGTCAATCTCGAAGAAATCTTATTAATCGTGGACACATTCGTAAACGTTCTGGAACTTTCCCGTAGATGTCATCTCAACCCTAGACAAACATAATCCAACCAAAGATGGCCCAATATAACTCAACTAAAGGTGATGTGACTTTGATGAAGTCAGAAAATTAGGAAACACTTGAATTAAAAATGGAAATCAGACTTGGAACTACAATATTTTGAGAGGACAATCGATTATAATCAGGGAGCAGAACCACTGTTCTACTTTTTTTAAATCGAAAAATAAAAAGTAAAATAGCCTTGTGACTTCCGAATTATTCCAGGGATCATGCTAATAAATCAGCAGTACTCAAGAGTGAAGAGTTTTAGACAATTTGAAAAAGTTTGAAGTCGCGGTCAGATTTTAGCATAATTGTGAAACCTGGTGATGGTCTTCTTCTTCTTCTTCTTCATTCTGGTCATTTCGCAAGGAACAGTCTCCTCCTTGATCAGAATCAACGTTATATCCAGAATTTTCTTGCGTTTTTCCAGTATCGAGTGCCATGTTGTAACCCAAAGGTTCGCCGATTCGATCAGCAGCAATCTTAACTTTCAGCAAGTTGTCTTCCAACACGTTCAGAGTCGATCTATGAGCCAATAGTCTGTCTATTTTGCCCAGGACTTCAGCAAACTCTTGATCTTGAGCCAACACTCTGTCCTGTAATCAGAAAATCAATCTTTTTTTTAAAGTTTCGGCTCGTAAATTATTTTGATGATTTTCAGGAATCTACGATTTATTCGAAGAAAGCAGAAAATTTTCTCCCACTCGACAAAAAAAAAATGTCTTTGATCTTTTCATCCCGCCTGGTTTGATTCATGCAGCTGTGAATTTTTGATCAACTTTTGTGTGTTTTTGAAGACGTAACCTCAGCAAATATACCGGTTTACACTTTGTCAGGTAACAATTATTTTACAATTTAATATGCTTCATCACTAAAATATGGGAATTTTTCGGAGACCCACAAGAGCGTTCGAACCACATCATCGTCAGTTCGGGCAGAAATTAAATGTACAAGAAGAAAAATTCCCTCTTGATCTTCATCATCGGCATCCAAACGGAAGAAAAATCTCTATTTCCGAAGAATCAATAAAGAATTGACGCAATAATAACTGACATGAAATTGATGAGGATTCTGGACAAAAATAAAATGAGGAAAGTTTAGAAAAAAATTTCCCAAGAATTCCACATTAAAGACCATCATCCACGCGACACATTTCACTCCTCTAAACAAAAAGAAGATAAATTACCCTTTGATCACTAGAACTTATGGTACCTATTAAACCTCTCCAAGATCCCTGAAATAGTTAGCAGTATATCTCGTCAATCCGCTAACGAGCAATTAGGCATCATTTGTTGATCATGCGTATCAATTATCAGGTTTTCGCGCGGGGGTCATTAAACGAAGTATAGAATCCCGATAACAGAGCACATTTCCCCGCCAAAAAAAAAGATAAGACGAGAAGACATTCAAGGCCAGACGTACTTCTGACCTCGACACTTGATCCCCCCCAGCCTCGTGAGAACTATTGAGGATTTTAAATGGAACCTTCGTGAAATGACCTCTATTGCCGTGGGTTCAAGGAAAAATAGTTTCAGTTTTAACGTGCACGGTGTCAACGATAACGGTAAACTAACAAGCATAGATAAAGCATTATATAAAAAAAGTGTTTATTCTGGAAAGGAACGGAACAAAAGGAAAAATGCCCGCGTATTCGATGAAGCAGACAAAATTTATTTCCAGGATGTCAAATACGAAACAAATAGATGCCAAATACGGTTTCACGATAATTTAAAATTATTTATCTTCATAAAAAGTATATGAACTCAAGTGATCGTACAATAACTCATGGATTGGCAAGAGACAATCGCCTTGACCATACTTTCCTTCCTGAATCTCCGACGAAGAAAAATTTGGAAACATGATTTACTGTACTGTATAATTCCCATCACAAGCATTTCAAGTTGGGAAAAAATATTGAACTTTATTGTGCAAGAGTTTTAATCCAATGGGGACGATATGGCTCCTGATGTTCCGAATGGATTATACACATTCCTCTCTCACGAAATCAAGTGAGAAGATGAAAAACGAGTTGATACAATATTCAATATTGGCAAGTTAAGAACTCTCCTGTCGACACTTTTAGTGTAGCATCTAAAAATATTTCCAATCTAATCAAAATTTATTAATGCCGGAAATGCAGCTTTAACCTGTTTGCAAGAGTTCAATAAGAGAAGGTTGAAAATTTCGCTATTTGGTGAAGAAATGGAGAATTTAGCATGGCCAAGACTGAATCATGTATCAGGCAGCAAGTTACCAGACATAAGGAACTGATAGTAAATTGAAAATTCAATTAAAGTTTCCTTTGTAAAGGTAACCACAATATTTACTATAAAAATGGCGTGTGTGGGTCTAAAAAAAAAAACGCAGAAAATTTCAGTTGTTCTCACGAGGTAGTTTTTCTTGAAAACATCGGAAAATAAAATCAGCTCACGTATTTTTTTCTTGATAAAATTGAAGTAATAAAATATAGATTTCAAAGAGCTTTTGTGTTCCGGAAATCAGACCCATTTTCCGGAAATCGGTGGTAGATCAACTGTTCAGATTGTTTTTTTTTTCTGCAGAAGGTACTCCAAGTGCAGAAAATCTCTTCATCATCCAAGTTTACCAGGACCAGACATAGTAATTTCAAAGTTTAAAATATTGCAGTAGACAAATTAATATAATTCTATCGAGAATCTATTTGCAGAAGCAGTTGAGCACTTTGAAAAATTGTTTTCAAATTGATCAACTGTTTTGATCAAATGATCAACTGACAGCAATTCATTGAAAATTCCAGCACCTTGTGTATTGAAGCATCCTGTAAAGTCAATCAATAAGAAGCAATTTCAGGCTCAGAATATCACGATTTAAAATTTCCTGCAATTTTATCATCTGTTCCGCAACATGAATGCTTGTTTCTCCAACTCTGAACCTCCTGAACTCAATTTTTTGCTGGTCCCTTCAAATTTGACTTATTTAAAGAGGCTCAATATGATACCTAATGACGATTTACCAAGATTAATCCTAGTCGATTTACCCTTTCTTCAAAAATTACTTTTCCAACCAAGAAAATGTCCCTTCTACTAAATTGTATTTTGTACCAGAATTCCGGTTTGATTTCGCGGTATGGGTTTCCTCCGTAAGTAAGGATAATTTTTTTTCATTCGGAAAATACGACAGGAATAAAACAAACTCGCTTATCGAGCAAAAATCACTGGGGAACCCCAAAAACAGAAAAAGCCAAAGGGTGATGCTCAATGCCTCTTTTTCTCTTATTTTGACACCATTTATTTTCTTTTTTCTGCGCAACCCCACGTTTTTCCCCACCGAAACCCGAGCACCCAAGCAACCATCAACACTCAACAGAGTTCATATGTCACCCTTCAACCCAAGAGGCCCACGACTCTTATGTCGGGGCGGGTGCAGGAGAAAATCCCGTGGGAGAAAAAATCCCGCAGCCCGGAAATCCCGCAAGGTCCCGAAATCCCGTAGGTACGAAAATACCGAAAACTGAATTTACATATCAGACAAACCTCCTTTGAAATCTACAGAAGGCATAATTGTATTTAAATAATTCAAAATTATCAAAGAAGTCTAAATGCAATTATATAGTGATATACTGATGTTTCATTTTCAATCTTAATATTCAATATACTGTACAGTGTACATGATGTAGAAAATGAAATAAAAATCTATAAAAAGTCCAAAAATTTTCAACTCTGCCAGATTTCCACCCAAATTGATGCAAGTTTAATACTTCAGAAGGCAAAGTTGAGCTGTGAAAATCATTGGAAAAGTATACAGTTTATATACAAAACAATGCAGGGATGAGGGATCCAAATGAAGGCTACATCGATCCCAGGCTTCCTCACCTTTCTCTTGAGAAAGGTGAGGAAGTGAAGGTGAGATTCTATTGAGAAACGTAATCCCTAAACCTCCCAAACCCTTGGAAGGAATGAAAACCCTCACACTTTCAAAATTTCATAATCCACTAGATTTTTATTCCTTACACACAGTTGGAAGAAAAACCCAGAGACAATGTTGCAGATTTGTAGTACTCATGGGGATTTCCATAACTACGGGTATTTTTGGACCATGCGAGATTTTCTGGCCTACGGGATTTTTGGGCCGCGGGATTTTTTCTCCTACGGTATTTCATCATGGAGCAGTTTGGGGCATATTCAAATTCGGGGGGCATGTAGAATTTGCGAGCCAAAAGAATGCGACTGAGCAGAGAAAGCCATGGAGTCCATTTAAAATTTGAATTTGTGCTGCTTGATTCAATGTGTATGTGTCTTTGAGAACTTTGCAGATTCAATTAAAGTGAACAAACCTTAACGGCAAAACGAAAATTATAATAAAATTCAGCACTGTGGAGGATCTTCTTGCAACAAACCTGGTTGTAATGGAATCGAGTACAATTTTCAATTTTCGGTCATCTGTGATATCCGATTACCTTTAAAACGGCATTACATTTCCGAAATATTTGACTTTAAAGGCACATTTGCGCGGATTATCTAATATTCTAATATGAATAATAATAATAATAATAAAACACTCAATCCTCTTCGCAGAATTTACTTTCGCGAATATGAATGTCTGCCGCTTTTCTCCCTTTGGACACCTTGCGTGCCCTCATCCATTATCCTAGCTCTCCTTTTTTCTCGACATTCGTATCCTCCTCCGATTTCGCAGAGCATTTCATTTCATGTCCTTGTCGCGAAAGAAAAAAAAATTTGGCGCGCACTTTCCCTCCTCCTCTCCTTTTCCTGTGGGCGATCACGTATCATGGAGCAGTTTGGGGCATATTCAAATTCGGGGGGGGGGGGGCATGTAGAATTTGCGAGCCAAATAATGTGAAAGAGAAGATGCGACTGAGCAGAGAAAGCCATGGAGTCTATTTAAAATTTGAATTTGTGCTGCTTGATTCAATGTGTATGTGTCTTTGAGAACTTTACAGATTAAATTCAAGTGAACAAACCGTAACGGCAAAAAGAAAATTATAATAAAATGCAGTACTGTAGAGGATCTTCTCACAACAAACCTGGTTTTAAGGGATTTGAGTACAATTTTCAATTCTCGGTCATATCTGTGATACTGTATTCGATTACCTTTAAAACGGCATTACATTTCCGAAATATTTGGACTTTAAAGGCGCATTTGCGCGGATTATCTAATATGAATAATAATAATAATAATAAACAATCAATTCTCTTCGCAGAATTTACTTTCGCGAATATGAATGTCTGCCGCTTTTCTCCCTTTGGACACCTCTTGCGTGCCCTCATCCATTATCCTAGCTCTCCTTTTTTTCTCGACATTCGTATCCTCCTCCGATTTCGCAGAGCATTTCATTTCATGTCCTTGTCGCGAAAGAAAAAAAAATTTGGCGCGCACTTTCCCTCCTCCTCTCCTTTTCCTGTGGGCGATCACGTGACTGCTACGCTCACATTGCACCATGGACGCGCGTGTCACGCTGCGTGTTTTCAAGGGCACCGCGCGAAAAAAAAATGTGCGTGCAATTTCGCTGTGCGAAGTGGTGGAGAGGAGGAGGAGGAACGCGTGAACATCCCATGGGCTTGTTGGTGGCTCATCCTATGCCTGGTGGGGGACCATTCAAGCGAAAGGCGCCACTGATTGAGAGAGCGGCGCATTTTCTATAGTATAACCCCATTCCTGACAAAAAATTTCGAATTTTCCTTTTATTCCAAATTGTTTAAAAAAAAGAACAGGATGTACGTTTGGGTAATATTGGCTACGGTGTGGATGCAGCATGAAAATAATCAGTGTAATTTATAACTTTTATTAATATGGGTTCCATCGCCGTTGGCCTCTAAGTGAACGCTTAGTTTTCATTCTTCTGTAGACGGTTAAGTTGACCTTGTCCAAGACCTTGACAAAAACTTTCATTATTGATACTTTCCCTCTGATGTGACCGTTATTTGTGGAATGATTCCGCGGCATTTTCCACTTCTACTACAATAAATAATAAAATGATCTCTAATAAAAATTTTAGAGATAAAACAATACATATATTCTAATAAAAATGTTCCAAATAAGAATCTGATAAAATATTAAATAATAAAATAATATTCTAATAAAAATGGCCACGGGAAAGTTTGTTCCATATCCTCAGAAAATGTGACGTCGTTGAAATGATGGGTTCCATATTGATAGCGAATCGGTTTACGATTTTTCGAAAATTTAGCATCTGTCAGGGATATAATGCCCCATATTTTAATCACAGTACTTTCAAATAACTTCTCTGTAAAACCCGAGGCTTCAAGAATCAGCCCTGGACAGCATTTTTGAGGAGGGTACAAAATATACACAACTTATAGCTAATGAAAATTGGATCGCATGCAAAAATATGAGGGAGTTGCATTTCTACAGTACGATCACCTACTGCATTCATACATACTGTACAGTATACTGGTTTTTTTCTGGTTGCAGCTCGCAGAATGCTGTCGCGAAGAATTACAACATACTTCACTAATCTTATGGCGTAATATCTTGTATCTTCGACCTGTTGGTTCAAGTGCGAGCAACAGCAGGGATTTTTCAAATTACTGTATGTAAATTATTGATCTGCCTTTAAGGAAAAATATCCCTCTTCCTGAAGAAAAGAAACCTAATGCATAATTCTTAATGGCACTTCAATCACAATTCTTCGTGATCTAAAGAATTCTTTGGAACCCAACAATTAGCATGAAAACGACCAAAGATAAAATTCCTAAGATCTAGATCAAATTTCTATTTTTTGGCTTCAAAACGTCCGCGAATTCATATTCTATTCATTCAGAAGAATCCTTTTTTTCGTTTATCTACTCTGAACATTTGGTAGTGGTGTAACAAAAAATTCGAATTCCAAGTCCTGCAAACCCCAACTAAGCTTTGGCGACCTATAGCAATTACTCATGCCTACAGATCGTTGACCACGATGCTGGAAAGTGCCATTGACCATCGTCGTCAAATGGTCAACATGCATAAAATGCAAGAGCTTCGCAAAAAAAAAAGAATGGAATTTTGCGCCAATTTCTCGGCGGATCACTCAGTTCCCCGGGTTCGATGCACTGCACATGCACGCAACCCGTTGGCAACTACCGGTTGACCGTGAAAAAATCAAGCAAAAAAAAAGAAGATCGGATCTTCTGTTTTCACTTTTTTTTTCTCTCGCCCTTGGATGGACCAGAGGGAAGTGAGGTTGCATATTTTGCATCCGGTTCAACGACCCTTCTTAACATTTCCCACGGTTTTGGGTTCTGTGAAATTTTACACGGTTTCTGTTTATATTTACGCCGTCGGGTTTCGCGTGGGGCGGAAAATCAATTCTTCGTAGAACAGGAACCCCTTTTTCAGTGGTGCTGAAATTTGAGCCGTTTTCTTGGTAATTATAAAAAATAAATTATGCATTTAAACTTCTGAAAATCATGCAAATTAAAAGTCGTTTCGTTATAGTATAGCAATTGCGGAAAATTCTAAATAAATTTGAGCTTCTGCAGTCATGTGGAAAACTGTACTTCCCAAAATATCATCACCACGTTTCCTCGCCATATCAGAATCAGAATGGTCATTTAAAAAGTCGTAATCATTATTTTTTAACGATTGAATTCAAGATTAAATGAGCAAAAATTCACGGTTATTGATTGGAAAATTAACAGTAACGTTGAGGGGTGAATTTTTTATCGGGATATTAATGCTAAGATAATAACTCAACTAATGCAGAAAAGTAAATCGATATGACCACAAGATTATTGGTGTGAAAAATTATTGAAAGCTCTTTTGTGAAATCAGGGGCTAGGGGAGATATTTTAGAATTTATAGTTTTTGCATGAGATTTATTTTTATGATTGGGGATATTATTAACATTTTTTTAAAAATAGGTATATAGAATAAATCAAACTAGAAGGTTTTAGAGAAACGCCTCGTATGTTTCCGAGTGGTAAACAATTTTATTGCCTTTATGCTTTTCTGAAACGATTCAGCTCTTCTTTCAGCTCTTCTTTCATTTTGAAAGACATGCAGCACGTTTTCCAAATTTGATGCAAAACATGCCACTTTTTTTCAAAACAGTCACGTATTTCTGTTGGGCTTTCGAAGATATAAAAAAGCTAATTCATGTTTCGAGCCCACTTCCTTCAAGGAATTTTTGATCATATATGACTATCGAAAATCAAGGATGCAGCAGTTTATACCAAATGGCCCGGCGTTACATTTTTGGACGAGGAAAAAAAAAACAGAAAGCTTGATGCAATTGTCAAAAAAACTCACAAGCATGATTTGAGAATTCAATCCAGCTCTGAAAACTCGTTTGGAAGCTTGTAGCATTAAATCAATCTCGTCCTGCATCATGGCAACGATGTTTGCTGACTCTGGAATGCTTTCTGCCAATTTCTCAAACTTGGTTCCCACGAAAACATTTCTTCTGGTATTGTATCCATCCCACTGCAACACAAGAGCAGGGTTTCAACACATTTCATATTTTCTATAGATATCATGTGTATGAGTATACAGTATGTTGTGGTGGTATTATTTACAATTAGCCGAAGCAGATCCTGACGCGTGCGGGCCAAGTCAAAGACACGCGGGTTGTTGGACGTGCCATTTTTCATTGCGAGAACAGCTGAGTTGAATTCGGCGAAGGGATTTTTGGCCATGTTTTCCACCATCAGTCTTCGGCAGCCCTGCGAATAAAAAGCCTCCAGCAAATGAAAATACTGTGAGTTCAAAACAATAAAACGAGCTCCTTAACTTCAAAAAATTGTAAAAATTGGTTTTATAAATCTGGCTCGATTAAAAAAGGACGGGTTCAGCAACATTTAATGGCTGCGTGAACCATTATTTAATTTGGACAGATCTTAATTTCTCTGCTTTCAGGCATCTTGCAAATTTTTTTTCACAGGAGCATAAATTCGTTGCAAGCATTTATTTACAAGAGCTGATTAAAACAAGGCTGTTATGTCCATTGAATTTCTACTATAGCTCTGATGCAAACAAATTTGGCGTTTCAGTCACTGGTGAACCGTTAGGTAATACAATATTCACCATACAAATGCAAAAAAATATATGAGTCTGAAAAATTGCAAGTAAAAGCAAAAGATATCAAACACGGCAAAGTCACTACATCCAGCTGCAAATTCTTTCCCCGTGAACCTTGCAAAAATTTGGTTTGGCATTTTGCAAAGCTCATCAAGCCTTTTTCAAGATTGATACAGTTTCATAACTTTTCGAATTTTTGTGCTTTTTGGCCAATTAGCAACCACAGAGGAAATCACTTGCGTTAATGTTGACCTTCAGGAGAGATTCCCAACAAAAACCTCTTCATTCCTCTGTGTGAGAACAAGTAAAACACATAACAGCCAACTTAAATGAACTGAAGTTACCTAATTGCTAACAAACCAACTTTAATTCCACTATGAATGAATGAACAGAACACTTTATTTGCCGCTTTTCAGCATTCACNACTTTAATTCCACTATGAATGAATGAACAGAACACTTTATTTGCCGCTTTTCAGCATTCACAAGGTTCAATCAAGATTTCCACATCCAAACCCCCTCCCCACCCAACCCAAATCCACTCAAAGACATTTAATCACTTCAGAGCAGGAAACAGAGCACAAATTGATAACAAAAATAAAAGAAAATAAATCCACAAAATACAATTTCACTAAAACAGCCACTAAATTAAATCAAACAGCCAAATGATGAAAACAATATTTGAGAAAGAACTTCTCTATGTCTTCAAGTCAGAAACCTACTCATGTTAAATTATCAATACCTTCAAGAAGAATGTAGAACACCCTGAGTAAAATGGTTATCCCTAGAGCCTGTATATAAAACCTAAATCATCAGAGGCCTTTGGGTTAGTATTCTAGAAACTCAACAGAAAGAAGATGAGCAATAAAATGGTAACTTGCTGCTTTGCACAAGTAAAACATATATTAATTTGGCAAATGTTCTCTTGCCTCTAATTTCAGCCTCATGTCAACTCATTCATGGAGTCATACCTACTCCAAAAATAAGCAAGATAGCGCCCACGTAGTACAACATAACTTCACAATTTCATATATATAATTCACACAATAATATTAAAAAATAAATAAATACCTCAGCAGCATCTGCTGCAACTTGCTTCCTCTGCACGCGGTTCAACAGCCTGTCACCAGTCTCCAACTCGTTCATTATACTAGTCTTATTTTTCAATATTTCCATCACTTCATCCCGTAGCTGGGAAGCACGCGACCAGAATCCGTTTGTCTCGCAGGCGATCCTCTGATGGATAAACCAATAAGTGACACATCTCCCTAATTATTCATCATCCGTTATATTTTACTCAATAAACGCGATTGTATCACGTTTTGCTGTACCTCCAGTTCCTCGGTGTCGGCATCAACAGGGCTCGAGGTTTCATCGTTGCAGGGAATCAAGGGAATTGGCAAAAGCTGATTCATTGCGGATCCAAGTTCGAGCCTGAGTGAATCGACGTGGGATAGAAGAACAGGGAAAAGTTCCAGTGTCGCCATGGCCATGAGGATACGGAACTTTTGATCGAATCTTATGGTCAACTGGCGAGAAGGAATCATGGAAACGATCTTCAAAATCGACAGGGGCCGGTTGGGGGGGGGGGGGGGGGGGAAGACACCTTTTAGCAAAATAATCAGATCTTCTTAAATATNGGGGGGGGGGGGGGGGGGGGGGGGGGGGGGGGGGGGGGGGAAGACACCTTTTAGCAAAATGATCAGATCTTCTTAAATATATTTTTATCGGACTAGAAATCCGGGGGGAGACACCTTTTAGCAAAATGATCAGATCTTCTTAAATATATTTTTATCTGACTAGAAATCCGTTAACGATGGGGGAAAATATGATGACGATGCTGATGGGTGTCTTGCTAATTTTTTTTTTTTTTTTACAATTGCAGATCAATTCCACCTGTGTACAGATGATTCTGAGTTCTCTTTTGGTGACAAAATATGTACTGTGTTTCAAATAATTGAAACTTTATTTTTAAAGCAGCATCGGGAATTGCTAGCGCTGCGCATGAGCATTTTGATCATGCATTTTTTTTCTGAATAAGGGAATTCGTTTCCAAGTGCAGCTCGTCGAAGTAAAATTTTCTTCTTAATATTCCGTAGTAAATTATTTAAGAGTGGGGAATGCTTGTTAATTCGAACCCAATCGAAGAAATTCCTGGATAATTTCACGCCTTCTTCGAATTTTTTCCTTCTGATTTTGACTTGAGAAGTAAAATGAATCGGGCATCATTGAATCTCAACCCTCTTCCTAAGTCATAGTTTTAAATTGGACTTCGAAATAGCGCTGAGATACGAATACAACCCCATTGGAAATTGGCAGAAAATTAAATTTACGTGCAGTTTTCAAAACGTGAGAATTTGTTTCAAAAGGGAAAAAATTGAAATAAACTACGTATTCTTTTTCAAGCTGGAAATTTCTCTTCAGTCCTCTAATTGTTTCAATTTAAATTGTAATTGCAGGCTCGAAAGTGGGGGGTTTGAACGAATCACTGACCGTTTGATTCCCCTTGGCTCTCAAAGACTCCAACAAAAAGAAGGACCTTTGTTGCATCATCTCGTATTCTTCAGCCAAGGAACAAGCTTTTTTGAAAGTTGATTCAATGTGTTCAATAAGCTCAGGGGATGGTCCTGCAACAATTGGCTCTGATTGAAGACCAATTCCTGGATGCTCAGATTTTTGTGAATCCTTTTCTGTGTCATTTTGGACACGTTTCTCGTCCTCAACAAAGGAACCTATAGGTTTCAGGGTTTCGTTTTGGGTCGCTTCCGATGTCGATTCCTAATTTTGGGTTCAAATCATGGTGGTGATGGTGATCATAATTAATGATGGAATATCTTTCGTTGCAACATAAATAAAACTGCGCGTATTTTATAGAATGTTCCCCTCTCTAATGCACCAAAGAAAATTCATACAATAATTCATAATATAAGTTTCAGTGACCTCAACGTAATTTTATATTCATACATCAAATAAACAAGGCGCACAAGAAGAAGGGGAAACTTCCGTATGATGAAATTCAGAAAAACAAAGGCGTGTCTCTTTTGAAAACGATTTTAAAATAATAATACAAATACGACGAGGCTACTTCGTGATAAAGTATTCCGATGATTTTTGAATAAATGATATTACTGTACCTTTGGAGCAATTGGTTTATCTTCCTCCACGAAAGTGTCGGTGTAATTACACGTCGAAGCCGTGGAACTGTCGTGACGATCAGCATGTTTTTCGGGGACTACCAAAGTCAAATCACTCAATTGCTCATTAAGTTTCTCCTTGAAGGCAAAAGGGACAGTTTTGATGGGTTCCAAATTTTTGATGGGTCTCGAATGCCAATCTCCTCGAGCAGAGAAGAAACCAGCATAAATCACAAGTCCAAAAATGACTAAAAGTGGGATCGTGGATGAAGATCTTCTGGAATCCTGTTGAATATAAATATGTTTGTCAAGAAAACCTCCGTCAAGAATTCGGTCAGTTATTTAAATTCTGCGAAAAAAAATAAATGGTTTTAAAATGCCGAAACGTGTGAATACGAATTATGTGGTAGAAAATCGACAGCATTACACAGCAGTCGGAATTTTTCTACAACAATTTTGTCGATAACCACGATTTTTTCTGTACAACGAATATTCTTCAACAGCCTACGAGTTTAAGCATGAATTCTCTAAACCCATTTTCAGGGGTTGTCTTCAGTAAACGTCTTTCTGCAACAATTTCCCCCCTTTGAATTTTGTTATGGAGGGAGTCCTACTATACAATGTACACGTAATTTATTTTCAAATCGATGTGGATATGCATTTTTGTTTTTGAGAAATTACCGATGGTTCTCTTCCAATCCCAGTAGGACTTCGACCAGTAGTATCCAATCTATCGCGGACTGCATTTGTTCCTCGGCTGTTTCTTGTCTGTCGGAATCGATTGCAAATTCGAATTCCTGCTCTGGCCTTTCTCACGTTTGTCTCAAAAGAACTGCTTTGATTGCTTCTCAATAATCCGATCGAACTTGGCCTCAGAGTCGGGGGAAACGAAGATTTTTCCAGCGAAGGTCCGTGTGTCTCTTTCATTGCGTTCAAGCTAACGGCGGCTGATGGAGACAAATGAAGATCACTTTTTCCTCTCGGGTCCAACTCGGGTTCGGAATCGTTTGAGACATTCTTCATGGTCTTGACCATTCACGACAAAATATTGATTGAGAACCTCTTTATAATACAGGAATATCGCCTTCAAATTCAGGCGACTAATTTCGAATCCATGGACTTTGAAACCCTGACACGACACTCCCGACAAGAAAAAGAACCCTTCATCGGGACTTAATCCGAAGCGATAAATTTTCCTTGAAGGGCAATCAGAGAGCTGCGGAAAATTATGAAACTTTACGGGTATGTACTGTATGACGAACCAAATTTAGAGAAGTTATCGAGAGTAATATAATGAACTGATCAATTATGACCTGTGAATATACAACCTCACCAGACCTTTGGAAATCTACGCATCGATTGAGTTCTTTTTTCCACGAAAATCCGTTATCACTGGAAAAGTACGACTTGACTGATATTTTTTTCTTGAGTCGGGGGAAACGAAGATTTTTCCAGCGAAGGTCCGTGTGTCTCTTTCATTGCGTTCAAGCTAACGGCGGCTGATGGAGACAAATGAAGATCACTTTTTCCTCTCGGGTCCAACTCGGGTTCGGAATCGTTTGAGACATTCTTCATGGTCTTGACCATTCACGACAAAATATTGATTGAGAACCTCTTTATAATACAGGAATATCGCCTTCAAATTCAGGCGACTAATTTCGAATCCATGGACTTCGAAACCCTGACAAGACACTCGAGACAAGAAAAGAACCCTTCATCGGGACTTAATCCGAAGCGATAAATTTTCCTTGAAGGGCAATCAAAGAGCTGCGGAAAATTATGAAACTTTACGGGTATGTATTGTATGACGAACCAAATTTAGAGAAGTTATCGAGAGTAATATAATGAAAACTAGTTAATACTGGACACTTATATGTTGGAGTGGTCTGGAAACCTTTAGATGCGTAGCTAACTCAAGAAAAAAGGTGCTTTTAGGCAATAGTGACCTTTTCATGCTGAACTGACTATAAAAAAAGATGAAAAGCTTAATCTTTCGTTTTCTTAGCTTGTTATTCACTCTGAGTTTTCGGTCTGCGGTTTATAGCTTTGTGTTTAAATCAGTCTATATTAAGGACCCTTTGAACCCCCGGTTTTATGACTACCTCTATGTCATTTCATAAAATTAAGGTTATTCGGAAAAATGGATTTTATGCCTTACAATATTGGCACAAATAAAATATAAGAAACCGTTGATTCTAAGATGAACCCAACAGTTTCAAGCTCATGCAAGATTCATAACCGCTTGCCGCCTCACATTTTAACAAGAAAATCTGTCCAAGATACATGATTTGAGCAGGACATTTTTTGGTCAATTGTTTAAAAAAAAAGACAAGAAGCGGTGACAATTACACAGCGGTTCTTGAGCACGAGGCTGTTGCATCGTAAGGAAAAGCTGGTATTATTGTAGAGAAACATTCACATTTTTCCATAAATTTTAAAAATAATTATTAAGAGACTATCAGCAGCTGGTAATTTTTGAAATTTTTGCAACTTGAATTCATTTCAGATCGTGCTTTTTGAATGCATTTTCAGGAATGAGAGGAGTTTACATTCGTTTAATGATAATCTGATTGGTTCTGAATTCCAGACCTCGTCATAACTTTCAAGATTTCCCAAAAAATGCGATGGCGCTTTTAAAGGCTCGGATCTATCATTTTCAGGAATGAGAGGAGTTTACATTCGTTTAATGATAATCTGATTGGTTCTGAATTCCAGACCTCGTCATAACTTTCAAGATTTCCCAAAAAATGCGATGGCGCTTTTAAAGGCTCGGATCTAATTTTTGAGGAAAATGTAAAAGTACGTCTAATCTTTATATGTATTCAAGTCTGATAGGATGTTGTAGAAGTTGAAAAAAAGGATGCCTGAATCCGGTATAGGGATTTATTCAGATTCACCGAACGGAAAAATATATTTCCTGACCAACCTGAATGCGTTTTCTGCCCACTTCGGGGGTGCCAATTGAGTCTTGAAGTGCTATTTCCATTTTTTTTGGCTGTTGAAAAAGTACTCGCTATTACAGCTTGCTAAAAATAGAATACAACCCTAAGCTCCTGATGGAAGGGGTTTATTTTAGTCCCATCCCGGAAGATAACAATAGTTTTATGCAGCTTCAAATTGAACGCCCTTGACCGACGACAGTCGCCGTGTCGTCGGTCGTCGTCGTGGGCAGGACTGGCATATTACAATAAACATCGGGTCCTGTCGAGTTTATCGAAGGCCTCGTGTGAAAAATCGTATTAAAGTGGGTGTGGGTGGAGACTTTTAGTCCAAGCTACAGGCAAAGCCGCAAAGGACCAAGGCCAAAATCATCCGGGGGAAAAAAGGGGCTAATTTTGGCTACATAATAGCCCTGAGAAGGAGTGAATTTTACGAAGGGCTTCTCCAAATATTGGTTGTACATCGAAATTGACGTTAGAATCTTTGAAAAACTGCGCATCATTGAAACAAGATTTTTAACAACACAATATTCATGAGTGAGATTGGAAATTTAGTGTTAAAATTACGTTTCACATTTTCGTAGAATTGTCATATTCCGTAGAAACAAGACTGGGAAATCTCATGAGCGATTTGCCGGATATTCATCGTGACAAACAGATTTTTTGGCTAAATTCTCTTTTCTTTGCCTATTATTGAAAAGTATTTAAAATTTTCCAAATATATTTTCGGTGAAATATATCCGAGCTTTCTTCTTTTAGTCTAATTAAGTTATTTATCTAGATGACTTTGTCAAAGATCTTACTAATGGAAAGAAACATCGAAGAGGGACCAGTCTTTTTGGTAAATTTTACTAAAAGCTAGTTAACTTGTTAATTCCCTGGGAATCATGTTTGAAATCCTAAAAACATGAAGTCTACAGAAATATCGAATTAATTAAATGTGTCCAAAATATTGAGAAGGAGTGAACAATGCTTTGGATCTACATTTTGAACAGTAGCACACGGGATTCCAAGGCCAATTCAGAGAACTTTTGAGAAGACCATTGCATACGGTAAACCCGGAAGATTATCCCGTGTGTTGAAGGCAAATTTGTGGAGTCGTGGTGAATTTCTTTTCCAGAGGCAGGACCAGGTTTTTTTTTTTTGATAATGATATCCAAAACGGGAATCGTTTTGGTCTGCGTTTAAACTTTTTTGCTCTTCGGCCGTCAAGGATGTAAATTGTTATCATTCTTTGCTGGAAGGTACCGTTCGCAGATGGATACATTTTCAAACATGTGTATCCTTTGGCCTCGTTATCAGTTTTTTGAACAAATTATCCATCTTTTCAAGTTTTTGCACACATGTCCAAAAGACAGCAATCAATAATTACAATGCAAATCTTTGGGTAAAATTGAATTGAAGTTCAAAACCTTTTCTGCGTTTCATACCTTCGTATAAAAATTATTTCGACTTCTGGGTCACAATTCGCAGTCAAACCCCTCTCCCAAAATGGCCTATATATTAAGTAAATGAGTAAAGTTATAAATCAGGTAACTTGTTCTTTGAGATTTTTACATGAGTGTGATGATTTAGACTCTAAGTTCTTACCGTCATTTGTAAAATAGCTAAATAATGGCTTTTTTATCCAAGTAAATGGAGAACCTGAATGGAGCCGTCGTATATTTTCAGACGTATTTAAGAAGTAACTTTTTTTTATCAAAGTTGCTTTTTAAAATGTGGGAGTCCAGTATCCATGAAATAATGAGGAATATTTTCGTTTTAAGCATTGTTCTGAACTACGTTGTACATAGGTTTCAGACTTTTTTTTCATTTTCCAATCTTGCATTCTGAGTATGTGCACAATCCATTTTTTCCATTATTATTTTGAAAGAAATTGCTAACGAGTATGGAATGCATTACAGTGAGACCCCCATGTGCGGACACATTGACCTGCAGACAATTCAACATTGGGACACTTATTTTCCCATAAAAAATTAAAGAAAAAGGCCTGACATGAAGACACTGACTCAACATAAGGACATTTTTTATAAAATTGCTATTACATTTCAGGTCAAATTACAAGAAACAGATATTTCCAACCATAAAAGTGATGTATAAGAAAAGTTCTTGGGCATTTCTCTAACCAATTTTTCAACCATTTAGCAAATTTTAAAAAATTACCTCCAGCATAGGGGGACTTTCTCCTCTCTTTTTCACTAATATGTTATTTTTACAGAGAATTACAAAACTTCTATGTACTGTACAGAGGTATCAGTATTCAATTCCCCAAATATCCAGCATATGGTGCTGAAATATATTCATTGGAATCAGTTTAAATTGGGAGACAATTTTTATTAAATCTGAGATTCAAGAATGGCAGTAAACATTTTATCGATTTATTACCGAAAAAATAGGTTCATTTACCTCTTGGACTTACCTCGGCAGCATATAAAAGTCTGCATAAATTCTTCATTGAAAAAAAATCAAAGTTGCTTTTTAAAATGTGGGAGTCCAGTATCCATGAAATAATGAGGAATATTTTCGTTTTAAGCATTGTTCTGAACTACGTTGTACATAGGTTTCAGACTTTTTTTCATTTTCCAATCTTGTATTCTGAGTATGTGCACAATCCATTTTTTCCATTATTATTTTGAAAGAAATTGCTGAGAGTATGGAATGCATTACAGTGAGACCCCCATGTGCGGACACCTTGATCTGCAGAGAATGCAAAATTGGGACACTTATTTTCCCATAAAAAATTAAAGAAAAAGGCCTCACATGAAGACACTGACTCAACATAAGGATATTTTTTGATAAAATTGCTAATATATTTCAGGTCAAATTACAAGAAACAGATATTTCCAACCATAAAAGTGATGTATAAGAAAAGTTCTTGGGCATTTCTCTAACCAATTTTTTACCCATTTAGCAAATTTTAAAAAATTACCTCAAGCATAGGGGGACTTTCTTCTCTCTTTTTCACTTATATGTTATTTTTACAGAGAATCACAAAACTTCTATGTACTGTACAGAGGTATCAGTATTCAATTCCCCAAATATCCAGCATATGGTGCTGAAATATATTCATTGGAATCAGTTTAAATTGGGAGACAATTTTCATTTTGATGGAATTATGGTGAGTACAGTATTTTGCACATAAAATACCAATTGAAAATTATACAATGTAAGTCTAAGGGAAAGTGAGCCTCAACTTGGGGGCACTCTTGATCCACCAATCACGTCCACATCTTGGGGTCTCACGGTATAAGCCTTCCATTCAGCTGCACATGACTTGGTCACTCTTGGTACTTTTTGAGTAAAGAAATTGCCACTGGAATATTACCAGGTTTAAGCAACCAAGGCACAATAATTGAGTGCATTAAAAATTCAGGAGACACAAGCCTCATTAGGATGCTTGCATTTGATGAATTCGGGCGCAGTAAATTCTAACCTTGAGGCTCAGGCTTGCCAGTGTTTTCTCAGGGAACGTGACGAGATAAACTAGCAGAGATATGCGAAAAGAAGACTAATAGCAAGTGGTTTCTTCGATTCTGAAGCCATTTCCAGTCCGACATCCCAGCATGACGGGAAACGAATCGAAATCTTCTTCATTTCGGAATTTGACGTGACGAAGAAAGTGAAGTTTTAGAATTCTTCTCAATTCTCACGATTGTTTTTTTGTTTGTGTTAAACGAAGTCAAAATTAAAAATTCGGTGCAAGGAAGCAAAGAAGAAAAGAAGTTGGGGACTTATTATACTGAAGTTCCAGTACTGGAAAATTTTGAACCTCAAGGATCCACGTTTTTCCAAGTATGTCCAATAATTTTTTCCATTTAAATCACGAACAAAAACGCCGGACTTTTGCTTCAGTAATGGATACTTGATAACAGTGAACTTAAAAAAAATATTGTACTGCACAAAGCATTACAGTTGAAAGAAGGACTCAAAATGATTGTTTGAAAAAAAAGTGGGTTTGCCCCTCGCCTGAAAGGTTAGGAATTTCCGTTCTTAAGATATTATCTTTTTCTTCCCGGGAATCATTTTTTGTAAAACTTGCAGAAAGCTTTGTCTTTCCTTATCATTCAACGGGAATTGCACAGGGAATCCCATATTGTTTAGAGTTTTATTTGTGACTTCGCGTTTTTTTTACAAACTTCGATGAATAGAAAATGCCGGGATTCCCAATCAAACTGGACTAAAAATTATTAAAACTTCACAAAGGGTGGGAACAAATTGGAAAATTTTCCATTGATCTCTCATTGTTATTATTGACTGCCTGATTTCTTCTATATACACAGTAGTCACTTGATTGAGACACATAATTATGAGAACGAAATCAAGGGCTGAAACTAAAAATAAAAGCTCATGCGGTTTTTTTTTGAAATTGTAAACATGCGATGTTTTTTTTTTTAGAAATCTTGCAAACTACAAGCAAATATTACGATCACAGTCAGATGAAGCATGATTACCTACTTTCAGCAATCGTTTTCTTAACAATTGGTTAAAATTCATCCCTTTTTCCAAAGTAAACAAGAAAAATTGGAGAAGACGGAATATGCCTTAATCTTCCGATGATTTCCCGTATATTGGTCGGAAAAGAAGAAAAAATATCCAGACTTCAGGAAAACGCGTGCAAATATGTGCATCTTGAATCTTTTTCTATTACTTTAAAAGTGTTTTTGTAAAAATTTCGCATTTCTTGAAGGCAGCTTCAATAGTATAGAAAAAACCATCGACGCAGAAAGCGGCATTTTCTCTCAAAAACAGCGACGTGACGAATGCCGATTTTTTGCGGACAATTCTCTTTTGCCGGTAAAACTGATGTAAATCGAATGAAAATAATTACCAAAAAAATTAAAATGAAGGAGCAGCTATGATTCCTCCCTCCAATTTATCCTTGATTACCTGCACGGATTGAATGTTTTGAGAAGTTTCAAGCTCGAGCCGAGACTAAATTCCAATAATCCCCCGCCCCCTGAATTGAAAAAAAAAGATTTTTGAATCAAAAAATATCAGCCTCAATTGTTTTCCACTTTGAATTAAGTGTCCCGTTCTCGCGGAATAACTGTCAAGCACTTTGAGCAGTGTATAGTATTCAAATGTGGTACGTTTCATGTCCATAATCTGAGAGCGAAAATTTGTAAATTCAGCCTTCTACATATTACCCCGTTCCTAATCTACATATTTTCACTGATCACGGGTTCTCCCAACTCCTTCCTCGGTTAATCGTTTCAACGTCTCGGTCCCTATTCTATATACTACAAGGAAACCTTCCTTCTTCTTTCCAATTGGGTGCAGCATGTGCCTATATATAATATAAAGCTAGGGGGAATAAATGATACAGTATATCTACAATTTTTTCCTGCACAGACAGGTCCTGAATATTTTACTTTTGTTTTTGAATTCACCAACACAGGGTAAAATCGAAGCAGCGGGAAGTAACCGCGTGTATATATGTCGGAATTATTTTCCGACTGGCTCAATTTGCATCCAAGCGAGGCCACGGGTGGCATAAAAGACGTTGTTCCAGCTCTGGTTCCGACCCAAAGCCCAGCAATCAAGGTTCGAGTTGAGAAGTCCGTTGTCTCGACATCGCGAGTCGTAGATAAGCGGGTTCTACAGCAAAATTCCTGCAGTGAAAAAAAAAAGTATAACTGCAACAGAAAAATAAGGTACAAGATTTCAGCGTGGACTCGGTTCGTTTTGGTTTTTTGGACTTTCGAGCGACGGGAAATGTGCTGGCTGAGATTCTGCTGCTGATTTTCACTCGAGAAGAAGTCCGTTATTAGTGTCGACACTCGAGTTAGAAACCTGAACCTGTTCCAGGCATTGAACTCTGTGTTTCACGACATCAATCTGAGTAAATAATAATTTTTTTTTTGTTACGGGGTGGACCGATAAAAATAGGCTGATGCATAAACAAGTCCAAGAAATTCAATTCACGAAATCTGTTATAGTCTTGTAATTCCCTTTTCCGGCTCTTGGGCTTTTTAGCATGAGAGAAATAAAATTGAATGTTCACCAGCATTAATCAACGATTTTCCGAAAGTTTTTCTTCGTTTTGTTAAACTAGGTTGAATTGGAGAGAATACATCGGGAAGTGCAGCCGATTGTCGTGGAAAATAAGATTATTCTTCCGAAAACTTGCATATTATTGAAAATTCCAGGCAGTCGAAGTGATACCAAATATCGTGAATAATTAAAATGTGTTGCCTAGATGATATCTTCGCTTTAAAATTTAAAATACTGCATTGTGAAAGTGTCCTGCTGATCTTTAAAATTTAGGTGCTAGTGATGCTGAAAGTCAGCAATGTCGTAAAATACCAGTCATTGATTCGGAAGTTTCTCAAGTCAATGCATCGGTTAAGAAAAAACTGCTTGAGCAGAATAATTGAGTCCATAAAATGCATTAAACAAATTTGAATTTATGCAAACCCATTTTCGATGTTCAATCCTTATAAGCAGTTTTCAAGCTGTCAGTTTTTATTGTAAGAACAGTGTTGCATTTACTTTAAAGTGCCTTTTTCTGCAGTTGCAGTGTCACGACTTCATTCAGGAGATATTGCTTTGTTTTTAAAATCAGTCTATTTTTTCGGTCGTCTCTGCTTGTAAAGCTGAAGTGAAATAAATGATCAATGAGAATTCATTTTTCAGCTAAATTCTTCATCATCCATCGAAGCTCGACGTCTTTCAAGCGGAGTCTTCAAAAACACTTCTGGCGGGTTTCTTGGTGAGTTCAATTTTTAATTACTTCATAATGAATTAGTCCATCTTTCCGAAGTCCTGGAGTCTTGAAATTTCAGAATTTCACAGTAACCCCAAAACCCTTTCTTGTCCTGAACGAAAAAAAAATTGAAGAAAAAAAATGAAAGCCATAAAAAAGATTGAGCCTTGAAAATAATACTTGCGCCAGAGGCGCTGCAGATAAATAATTGCAAGTTGACGTTTTATGCCTCAAATGAAGCCGTTCGAGAACCTTTTTCCATTTCAAAGATTATGAATTTGACTCGACTTTTTGGCAGATTTGTTTGAATCTGTATAGTCAAACTGATTTGCTTATTGAGAATGTGCCGTCGTTATGATGTGCATGTATACGAACCCGGAAATGAGCTGCGAAGCATCGCAGAAGCAGAATATTCTTCAGTAAGGTTTCTCAAGAATATTCAACCAAATGTATTCTCTATCTCTGAATGTATTTACCGAGAAAACGAAGGTTATTTACCCGAAAATGAGGTAAGTCTTATTGATTTAATCGGTTAAACAAGGAAGGCAAATATGACTTGAACGCAATATTTAGGGTTAAATTTCCTCTTCTAATTGACTAGTAGCGCGTATTTATATATGTAACAACTTGGAAATAATCCTACGATAATCCCCAAGTCCAGAAGCGAAGAAAAACCATCAACATTCTGGTTATATGAATGTAATGAACAGACTCAACCAACACCTGCTCATATGCAATGAAAAAATGCACTTTAATCTCAGCATGAAAGCTGTGGATGAGCAGGTCGAGAAAATTTATTGATGGATTAATCTTCTTGGATTTGTTCAAAAATCAATAATAATATGAATTATTATGTAATATGATTGCTTTACATAATAAATTATTATATAATAAATTGAATCATTATCCTGTAAGAGAGCAAAGATCTGGAAGTGTCCCTCAAACATCATTTGGCCAAGACCAGGTAAAAATCGTGGAGCTAGCATTCTATAAAGCAATTAAATTGTTCTTTAATTTTCTGCTATGATGATAGCAGAGATTGTAAGAAGCATTGTGCCCACACTTGTTGACTGGGCCACATTTTAGCACAATCAAAGTTACAACCGAGGGCAGAATGGCATTATAACTTCTGAAAGGATTTCAATTGTAGTTGTGATTTGGTGCTGATTGTTAAAAGGTTATGATTGTGGTTTTCATTGAGGTAAAACGCATAAACATTAATCACATTTTTTGTGTAAGAATGGTTTTAATACATGTATTTTTCTTGAATTGAGTGATACACATAGTATCTTGATTTTCAAATGTCAATGAAAAAGAATCAGGCCAAATTTGAGCATGTCTGCGGCCAGTTGACCCATTTTGAGAAATTTTTCCATTTTAGATGCACGGTAAAAAAAATAGACAAAAATCTAGGAAAGCCGTCGATTTTATAATAAAATATTTTGATCAGTATCAGAGCACGTACTTGTTTGCACAAAATTTATATAATAGACAATACTGTTGAAATTTTCCCCAGGAAAATTTGCATTCATCCATTCAAATTGATTAAAAGTAGTTTTAATTGATGAAAAGGGTGATCGAAATATGGGGCTTCATTTTGTATTGTACTCTGAAGGACCGAGTTTCTCAAATTAGTTCTTTAAATTTCCCATTGATATTCGTTGATTTTAGGCATTTTCAGACTAAATCTGAAAAAACAATGGAAGTTGGAATTCATTTTTTTAAACCACGGTGATACTAATATTCGAGATTTAAGCTTTCTTGATGGAATATTACTTGATCTAATGTAAAAATCCTTAGAATAGATTTTTTTGATCTTACATTTAAACGAACCCTCAGCATGAATGGTACCCAACCCAAAAGCCCCCCCCCCCCGGAAAGCCCCCCTAGGACAAAAGCCCTCCTGCCAAAAGCCCCCCCACCAATTTTTAAAAATTGGATGCAAGTTTCATAATAGTGTTTGGAGGCCCTGAGAAGGGCTATTTGGTTTCCTAAGTCCTCAAAAGGACTGTTTAATAATCATCTTCAACATTGCCTTCTGATACCTCTTCCTCACTGCCACTGATGCTCTCCACGTCATTTTCTTCTAAATTGTCATTTTAGTATGCAATTTGACCGCCCTTCTGATTGCTGATGATCTGAATTGCACCAGCCATTGGACCCACAAGGTGAACTGTAGATTTTGCAGAAGTCAGCAAGTGATGATGCTTTGACATTCAAAGAATCACTGATGACCACTGCAGGTGAAGAATCCCTTTATATACTCAATTTACCAGCATATTGGTACTTGGCCTTGTGCTGGGCCTGCTGCTGGTGAAAGGTGCAGCTTGCCATCAAGAGTTACAAGAAAACCTGTAATCCCCACTTTTTGCACCAAGGGGGGCTTTTGGCAGGGTGGGCTTTTTACCTAGGGGGGCTTTTGGGAGGGGGGTCTTGTACTACACCCTCATCAAGAGCACCTGAAGTACGAAGTGAATTTTTACCACAATATTCATCTATATCTGATGTGCCTGATAATATTTATTCGGAAACTGTAGCGTAAACAGAAGCATCTGAATTTACTTATTTTGGAGAAATTTAATGCGTTGAATTCCGTGCGCCATTTCTGGTGCAAAAAGATCACCCCTGAGTCTAAATAGCCACGATAAATGACATTTTCAGGGGCGTGTCGTACAACGAACTCCCTTATCAACTAATAACTCGCACAACGAACCTGCATATTTATAAAATATATATTCTCCGTGATGCGCGATTAGCCAAGTACCAATTTAATTGAACAATTTATCGCTTCAAAACTTCTTCTTATGATATCCGCACGCATCTCATACGAATGATGTCCAAAAAAATATTTATAAAATATATATTCTCCGTGATGCGCGATTAGCCAAGTACCAATTTAATTGAACAATTTATCGCTTCAAAACTTCTTCTTATGATATCCGCACGCATCTCATACGAATGATGTCCAAAAAAAAAGAACGATCTTGGGATGAAAGTGTACCATTTCACGAGAATTCCAGTGAAAAAAATGGAAGTTGATCATCATAATCGCACATACTGGGTAAATGAGTGTCAAAAAAGCTTTAGAGACTTCCATTCCCACACTCGTGGAATTTTGGATTTAAATACTTTCACTGAGATCCGTTCCATGCGCAGAAAAGCTCTCAATGAAATACGAAAAAAATAATAATTTAGCGGACAAAAGCGATTCTGCAACCGATCAGAAAGGTATAGAAAAGAGGTAATCCCGCAAAAGAAAAAAGAAAGAAACAAAGAAAGAAAGGAAACGAGAATATACTGTATTGGCCAACGAAATCGAGTACGACGAAATTCGGCGCTTTTTTATTTTTATTTTCGCGGCGTGCATATACTGTATATGCTGAAAAACCGCCACACTCCCCGAGCTCGGTCGTCGATCGCCGCCAATTTTCCCTCGCCATTTCGCTCTCATCTCTTCCTCCTCCTCCTTTCTCCTACACGAACACGCACACCTCATTGTACCTTTTTGTACGATAGTAAACAGAGAGAAAAAGAAAAGGAATGCGAACCCAACCCCCTTTCCTTTTCTCCCCGCACTCGCGAAGCAACGAACCCCACCCTACAGATGACAACGAACCCAGGGTATATAAGGTCCTTTTCGCCAAATTTTTGGCAAACCAGTCGCGTGGAACCTCGCTTCTTGAAATATACACGCGCGCTCGCGTGTGTAAAAATTCCGCTCATGTGTACATTTTAAAACCTGAGCCAAAGCAAACGCAAATCTTAAAATGTCTTTTAATTATGAAGTAATGAGAGGTTTTCAGTGATGCAATTTCATTATTCAACTACGAGTATATAAGGTGGATTAAATTTTGCCCAAAAGAGCAAATGCTTGAAGATTCATTCTGAAATCCGGCGAAGTGAAAAAGTGTCGATACGATATCATCCGTTAAAAAATCCTGCTGAGATTTAAAATATTCGTATAATTTTATTGCACTCATAAAAAATAAACGTACTTCAAGCACCGTTTTAAGTCAGAAATCTTGTCTATTTTCAAAACAATTCACAGTAATTGTTACGAACGCTGTAAAATGTCCAATTTTTAAGAAAAATGGAATCATAATCGCTTAATTTTCTTTCACAATATCTATGATCGAATTCAGTTCTTTAAAACCTTCTTCAAAAACAGCAAAAGGTTTGATTTAATTAATTCCAGTCCTAATTTATTTACATTATTCAGCATTGATCTGAACAGCGGAGAGAAGATGCCTCAAATAAATAGATTGACGCAGTACAGGTAGATTTCAGAAGTAATCAACAAAGGAAACAGTCGAAAATAAAATGTCATGATTTTAAAGTAGCCAGTTTTTTTGGAAGTATTTATTTAAAGCGGTGAAAGTAGCCGAATTCTCGCAGCGTGTATCAGCACTTTTTGTATTCTCTCAAGATTTATATTTCCCCCAAATCTCTTCCGAGCATTTAATCAAAGCATAATTTTCAAAAATTAGTCCTCATTTAAAATAATTGCTCCTCAATCTTTTCCCAAAACTCCTCTTCGTATATAATAAAAAATATTATTCTCAGTTAGATTTTGCCGAATCCTCGAATAATTAAAACCTATTTAGCATTGTTTAAGAGTGAACTTTCATATCGTTTCTCATTTGCGGCATTTCCTCTCGGTGAATTTTTCTTGAAAGCTCATTAAACTTTCCTCGAAAGTCAGCAGTCAGTAAATAAAAAAAACATTTTTTTCGAAATTAGCTTTCATTCGAGCGGAGGAATAAAACTCACCGGAAAGACGTGTTTGATTCTCGAAGGAGTGTCGTGTACACATCCAACGCGTGAATTCTCTCGTCATCGACGTTCACCGTATACATACTGTATATACAGCATGTGGGATCATTCGAACAACACGGCGACGAAATCGGGAACCCGAGTCGAGAACTGATTATAGTTTTCCTGCTGGGCCCCGATTCTCCAAAGTCGCCGGGTTTCGTATACCTTCAGAAGCCGGACACTGGACCTGTGACCGGATCGGTTCGATGCTTGTTTCGTCTCTCATGCAAGATCGAATGACCCGGTGACTGGAAATACGTGTTTCCGATTCTGGTGTTGTTCCCCCGAGGCGGCCCGTTAATTTCATTTTATTTCATTACCCTACACTCTGTTTGGAAATTTGCGTGTTCGGGTTGATTTTCACACTGCAGTCCCGTCATTTTCTCCGGCCGCGCATGTGTCGAGCAGGAGGAAGAACGAGTGTCTCGAATCTTTCGAGAGAGAGAGAGAGAGAGAGAGAGAAAATTGGCAGGAAATTTCGCAGTGTGTTGATTTGCCCAGGGAAAAGAAGGGGGTTCTTTTTTGCGTGTAGGATTTTGGGAAAGGAGATCAACGGCCGCACAGCTGCCCAGATAATAGTGGTCTCAACGCTAATAAACAGCGGAGGCGCGGTGTCAATGTGGGTGCATGTCGCTAAATTCTCGGGGCCATACTAGTGTCAAAATTAAAAAAGAGCGCTATTCTGTAGATCTGGTTTGGCTTGCCTAATGTGTGTGTTATTTTTGGGAAATTGGTTACTATGTTTGTGCAAAATTATTCCTGCGAAATATGACGATAACTACAGCTCAATCTGCTGGTCGGTTGATCAAAGTTAATTTGCTCGTGTTAAAGGTATATTCCGACGAAAATTCATTGTTGATGAATGTATTGGTGAATTGTTCATTTTCGATGAACCATCAATGCCTCGAAATGGTTTTATAAATGTTTAATATGCTCTTTTGGCGAGACTGGAAAAAAATAGTCGGAACTTTCTCAATCGTACAACTTCGATGGGACAATCTTGGATGTCTATTTCGCGTGGAATAGCTGATGAAATGCTCAAGTTTAAATGCCTCAATGCGTTCTTATTTTTTTTCTAGAGGAAAGGTTTGGAGCCGTTACGTAAGTGATTGACAGTAAATTTAAATTAGTTGAAACTTGATGAACAGCCTTGAAATGTGGAGTTCACCCGGCTTTTATCATTAGAATTCATGTTCAGGTGATACAAGAATTCTCAGGTTATGCTCTATAGTTTATCTTCTGGTTAGATCACGTTAATTTGGTGCTTTTCAGATTTAGGATCATTAGGCTTATTAAGTTCGAGGCAGGTTATTTTTAGTGCATCAACAATTTTTTGGAGGGAAAATGTGAAGAAGATGTTAACGAAGTGTTTCCTCGCGTAAATATTTATTGAATTTTGTGATCATGAAAAAAATTGATGATTTCAAGCATGTTGAGAGAATCTAATGAAGACTTTTTGTGGGACTGATGAATTCATTGAAAGTTTCAAGTCTTCAACGAAGATTTCACGTTGATCCAAAGATAGCGGACCCTGTTGAGGGTGTTATTCCCCGTTTTGGCATTTGATTTGCTGCATATATATAGATGAATTCATAGATGNAACAGCCTTGAAATGTGGAGTTCACCCGGCTTTTATCATTAGAATTCATGTTCAGGTGATACAAGAATTCTCAGGTTATGCTCTATAGTTTATCTTCTGGTTAGATCACGTTAATTTGGTGCTTTTCAGATTTAGGATCATTAGGCTTATTAAGTTCGAGGCAGGTTATTTTTAGTGCATCAACAATTTTTTGGAGGGAAAATGTGAAGAAGATGTTAACGAAGTGTTTCCTCGCGTAAATATTTATTCAATTTTGTGATCATGAAAAAAATTGATGATTTCAAGCATGTTGAGAGAATCTAATGAAGACTTTTTGTGGGACTGATGAATTCATTGAAAGTTTCAAGTCTTCAACGAAGATTTCACGTTGATCCAAAGATAGCGGACCCTGTTGAGGGTGTTATTCCCCGTTTTGGCATTTGATTTGCTGCATATATATAGATGAATTCATAGATGATATGATAATTCCGCACCTTCTATGCGAGGAAGAGAGAGAGAGACAGAAGGGAAAAAAAGGCTGGTCGAAAAACTTCTCCATTTTTGATTCGAGAAAATGCAGATTTGAGTTCTCTCGTGGATGAGGCGTTGTCTTAAAGGTCGGATGAACGACAGTCGCGAAACCAGTTCGATTCTCTCATCCAATCCTTTCGCTTCTCGGATCATTTCATCGATTTACTCTTGGCACCTCGAAAAAAGTTTACAAATTTCATTTACGAAGTGATTTTTTGAAAAGAAATTTCTACGTTTCGAAAGTTACAATTAATTCCCCATCGACACGCAATTGATAACTTCATCGTGCGAAATTATGTATAGCGTGCAAAACCCGAAGACTTGACAAAACTTGTGTTTGGTTTCTTTTGAGTGAATGGACGCAATTTGTGTTTTCTTCTTCTTTGTTTAGATTGCGTTTGATATGTGGTGGTTTTGATGGAGGTAATAATATACGCTTTTTTTCATGCTTTTTCTTTTTAGATAAATCGAAGACTGCGCACATACGAAAGGTTTTCAATCAAATCGCCAAAGGCAAAATGGGAGCAACTTCGCGCTATCCGGCTGACGACACTTTCTGCGACGTCATCAAGTCTGGCCACGTGAAAATCAAGAGCCGCAAACTTGGGGTGAGCGAAATTATTTTGTAAAAAAAAAAAAAAGGAATTTTAGAAATGCGAGAAGAGTCGTTTTTGATTCAGTGAATTTCTCCCGTTTGATGAGACACCGATTTTTAATGTGCATTTTATTGTCCGAATTTGTTTCGGCTTATTTTACGATGTTCTTTAATCAAGCCAAAAATTTTCGCTGTGTTTTTACTGTTCAGCAAAAGAAGTCATTTTGCGTTTGCAAAAAATATTTTGCTTCCATGAGATTTCGGAGGGGGGTGTTGAAATTTCGCGTTCATCGACTCGATACTAATGAGAGATTTATCCATTTTAATTTTAATGTTCCTCAAAACTAAAAATTGACATCTCAATCTTTAGAAGCCGCAGATTTGAAGACCCATTATCGAAACGAGTTTTGAGATATTTGTAGCACTGTGGTTTTCCGAGTCCAATCAGAATTCCTCGTCATTCTTGAGATTATTCTCATTTTGTATTATTTTCTCCACAACGAGTTTTAGCAATTCACGTGATTCCATGAAAACCACCTTTATTCTTGAGGTATAGGAGTAAAACGGTCCAGTTCATGAATTTTTCTAGAAATAGTTCCCGTTACGTAACTCATAATTAGTATTTCTCGAAGAATGAGGAAAATGAGAGTCGTGTCAGTTTCGTGGAAGTATAGATAATCATTCGAACACTGAAAGATGAATGATTTGATCAAAAAGATGGCAGACGAAGATATCGTGTCATTTCCCCATACGCAAGGAAGAAAGAAAAAAGGGCGAATGAACTACCTTCTATTTTTTTTTTAATTTCTGGGTTTTTTTCATGTTTTACTTCTGCTTTTTTTCAAGAAGCAGCACATGAATTTCGGAGGCATTATTCGAGAACTTGCGGCGCAGAAAATTGCTCAGTAATATTTGTGTTCAAATTTATTGTTCAAACGTTATCATTGAAATGAATCAATTATCTTCTGCGATAATGAAGCTTTTGTCCTTCAAGGTCAAGCTGATTAAAAAAAATTGCACTTTACGACGTGTTGACCTCTCAGTAAAATTCATTTTTTCAAAGGTATATTGTAACTGAAAATTTAGTTTACCGGACGTGTGAATTTTCAATAAGGCATGCGTAAGCACTTTTGCAACTTCTTCGTAGATTCAAATAGGGTATTCGATATAATATGTCGCTAGAACAGGTAATTCTTTTATCTGAAAGAAAGATATACAATAATTCATTTGGCGTGAGGTACTTTTTTTTCAGTGGAAAAAAACTTTATGCCTTGATTTTCCATCAACAATATGTAAATCCACGCAAGATTTAGTTGAAAATTAAATTGTTCCAACNTCAGTTTCGTGGAAGTATAGATAATCATTCGAACACTGAAAGATGAATGATTTGATCAAAAAGATGGCAGACGAAGATATCGTGTCATTTCCCCATACGCAAGGAAGAAAGAAAAAAGGGCGAATGAACTGCCTTCTATTTTTTTTTTAATTTCTGGGTTCTTTTCATGTTTTACTTCTGCTTTTTTTCAAGAAGCAGCACATAATTTCGGAGGCATTATTCGAGAACTTGCGGCGCAGAAAATTGCTCAGTAATATTTGCGTTCAAATTTATTGTTCAAACGTTATCATTGAAATGATTATCAATTATCTTCTGCGATAATGAAGCTTTTGTCCTTCAAGGTCAAGCTGATTAAAAAAAATTGCACTTTACGACGTGTTGACCTCTCAGTAAAATTTATTTTTTTAAAGGTATATTGTAACTGAAAATTTAGTTTACCGGACGTGTGAATTTTCAATAAGGCATGCATAAGCACTTTTACAACTTCTTCGTAGATTCAAATAGGGTATTCGATATAATATGTCGCTAGAACAGGTAATTCTTTTATCTGAAAGTAAGATATACAATAATTCATTTGGCGTGAGGTACTTTTTTTTCAGTGGAAAAAAACTTTATGCCTTGATTTTCCATCAACAATATGTAAATCCACGCAAGATTTAGTTGAAAATTAAATTGTTCCAACGTGTGAAATCGTGAGATTTGAATCGCAATGATGCGAGATATTATGATATGGATTTTCATTGAAATGATCAGCCACTAACTCAAAATATTTTACGTGTTAATTTGTTAATTGGATACACAGTATCTTCGAAGGCAGCTCGGTATTAAGTAATTGGATCCCTTTGATCGCATGGATATAAGATCAAGTTGAACTTTTATAAATTTTCTGGCGACGTCTTCGAGGCTTATCTCGTGAAAAGGACTTACTATGATTAGTCTTTTCAAATTGTATCACGAGGCTGCTTTTCATTATATTATTTTGGATTTGGAAATCTTTTCGAGAATATTTTCCGAGTTTGTCTCAAAAGAAATTCGTGCATCCCTGTAATTAGATCAAGTTCTCAAAGCAACAGTTCGAACTCGTAGATTTTTAGCTATCTTTCTCTTAGTGAAAGGTATACTTTTTTGGGAAAAAGAGAGAGAGGGAGACGAGAATAGGAATTTGAAAGCACCGCCCCTGGGCAGGAAATTCGTGTCCTTGGGTTTTCGCACACTTTTCACGCCGCGTGAAGTCGGGGTTGGTGTCCCAGGGATTTATTTTATTTATTTATTTATTTTGCTGTTCACGTGATCGCGAAATGTTCCTGGGGTTCATCCCCCACCACCACGACCCCCGGCTTTTCCTTTACCCTGGCTTTTGTTCACCGCCATGTTGGCTAAAATGCTGAAATATCTGCAAGGTGTCACAAACCTGCTGTGCTTGGGGTGGAGGAAAAACTGCGCATTTTTCGGTCTGAAATCCGCCGCATTTCGTGGAATATCATGCCGAGATGTTCTGGTTTATTTCATAATGCGTAGATGCTAATTTTCAAGCTTGGAAGTTCCCTGAAACTTTCTCAAGATTAACTTCCATGTGCCGAATTCGTTGTACATGCAGGTATTTTTTTTCTACAAGGTTGAGATTTTCTGTAAAAAAAAATGAGATACTTTTTCAGTCCAAGATGTAATTTTTACTTCTATTTTTTGGAAGTTTAGGATGCCGGAACTCAAGGAAACTTTACCTGAAAAGGGAATTCAAGATAATAAAAAGGGTAATTTTATGGTTCATCCTCTGCTAATTTTTCTTTTCGCATCACGAAAGTTTGCACTTTCGGATTTTTTTCGGACGTGACTAATTGGAGATTCAGTTTAATATGACCACTGCTTGGTATACAAGGCTCGAATCCATTTTTTGAGGTTTTGACTTCTTTCGAAATTCCTGTTGAAAATTTAAATTTACAATCGAAGAAAATGCGGGAGAAATCGTCTTCTTTCACAAGGGTTTCAGAGAAAAAAACCTATTGTGCGTAGGTCTAGCAGAAAAAAAGACAATGCTATTCAACTTTTTTTCAGATGAATGTCAAATTTAGCATTGTTTCATATTTCCCAATGTTCTGAAAATCTGAATTCTCCAATAACAAGCTTATCTCCGATATTTGCACACTGACCGAGTATTCTGTGAATTTGCACCATGTCCGAATTTCGAAGTTTCCACATTTTGAGTAGAATGGTGCGTGACTCGTCCATGTCTTTATTGCCACTCCTTCGTTTTGGAGTAAACAACTGAAACATCTTGGAAAATTTTAGAATGATTAGCTACGCATCTTTTTGTTGCATTGTGCAACTTTGCCGTAATTTTTTCCCGTGTCTGACGATTCCAGAATTTGCACTACAAAAGCACGTGATCGACTTACGCAGAATGCAATAGACCTTTTGTTTGAAAAGACTTCACGTAATATATTCTCGTAACTTCCCTTCGTTTTTTTTTTCTTACAGTCTTCGAATTATATAGAGAAGAGTACTGTGCTCTAATCCTGAAGTTACACGTTCGCAACATTTCAAAAAACAAAACAAAACGAGGGTTTGATCAACTTTTGGACGTAAATCTTGAAAGATTTTTATTTTTGAAGAACCAATTAGCTCGGTTGATTGCAGTCCAAAGTATTCGCTTTGCTTGCTGTGATAGTTTTGGATAACCGGTGATAGAACCCCGATTCAAGCAAGACATAAAAACTGCACGACGAAGAATCTGCAGCTCATTGAAAATTAAAATGTCAAAGTAGAATTCTTTGAAAGCCTTCAATGAAATTCAAAATTTACCTGAACGTTTCATGTAGAGATCGGATGCAATTGTATGCCAATATACTTTAAATGAGAATACCGGACGTTTGGCGTTGATTTTTGTACTTTTACGACAAAGAAAGCTAAAAATATATTTTGGAACTTCTCTACAGCAGGTGCATATTTTTATTCCCGTGAAAGTCCTGGTTCTGATATTGCGCGTTATTCGTAAAATTTACGAGCATCCGTAAGATAATTAAATTGGCTCTGATTTAAAGTTTTAATATCCGAATAGCTTAAGGACTGCGAAATACTTCAGCTTGATTATTTCTCCAACTTTTTCATTTTCAAGTTCCCTATTGAGTGGTCAAGTATTAAAACTTTCAAAACTTCGCCAACTGAAAGCTTCTCTTCAAAAATTTCGGGCTGCGGAAGTTCCTAAAATAAAGACCTCTTCTAGAATAAATATTCTACACCTCTAGTCAGGCATTATTTGGATCCCTTTGGCTGATTCATTACCAAATTATACTATTTTGTTTATTATAAAAAAAAGAATGGCCTTCATTCGGGTTTCTCTCACAGTCGGAAGTTTTCCGCAGGTTTAGATCTGTTCTACAATACATCACGAACTTCAAGTTCAGATCAGCTTTAATTGCTCATTAGGAAAAGAAGAAATAAAAGCAAAATATGTTTGCTTGGTGTGCGGGGAGAGGAAAGTTGAAGGTACGTAAAGTTGAAAGAGGTCTCGACAACATTTTGAAAGCATGAATCGTCCTAACGCTTGAATGCGAAATCAATTTTGAAACTTTGATACTGAAAAAGATAACTTCACTTGAACTTGAGTTGAGTGGAAATTGTTCCACTTACAATTCGTGAACCCGAATTTCTGCCAGCGATTTCACCTTAGGAAAAGTGTGAATCTAACCAAGAAGAAAACTGAGGCAGATTTATTCCAGTGTGCGAATCCAAATTTCTTCACTCAATTTTCGTTTCATAATCGAATGACACAATTTATTCTTTTTCGCAACTCGGGTTTTGTTTCATAGGTTTCATAATGACCAAGACAAATTCAGATAGCTAAAGAGGAGAATTCCATCAGGAAGAGTAGAAAATGACGCAATTGTGCGAAATGAAAATTAATTTCCGCAGCTTCTATAGTATCCAGTATTTTATCTAATTACGATTAGAATTAATTGACAAGAGGCTTACTCCGATTTTTCTGCCATGCAGGATCCCTTTTGTAGTTATCAAAGTGAAACAGACAAATTTATGTAGTGGGAAAATGATTACGAATAATTTCAGTGAGCGAATCCTAATTTATTTTCTTGGTACAATATTGAGTGTCGCAAAATTATTTTCCAGTTCTTCATGCGAGACCAATTTTCTTCAAGTGTCTGAGGTACATGGAATGAAAATGGCTCCCAAAATTATTTTATTTCTTGAATCCGAATCTTATTTTTTTCTTGCAGGTGCCATGATGAAAATGTTAATAAGAAGAGTAAAAAAAAAAGACGGGTTCGTCTCCACCATTCCTCACCTACTCTCTAGTGTGTGTGTGGTGCAAAAGACTTCTCCGAATTTCTAGCGTATCAGCATTTCATGCAAAAGTCCCGACGATCAGTTCCCGACCCTGTCCCCCCCAAGAATACCTTTTTAGGAAGCAGAAAAGAAAAAACCCAGCCAACGAACGGCTTCCCTGCGACTTATGAGGAATCATCACATGGAATATTTGCGTCTTTGTTTCACGCGTTCATGTCGTGGGTTATTTAGGCTGTTCGAAAAAGGAATCATCCTTTTAGCATCGCTGGGATGAATGAGTCAACGCCTTGAGATAATATAAACGCAAATAAATAAGATCAGCATATATCATCGTTCTGATGGACACGAGGAGACCACATGGTCACGATACTCGTGGTTTATATTATCATTAATCCTTCATGTATATAGGGAGATGGACTTCCACCACGTGTCGATCTCGTGAAATTATTTCATGAAATATTCGGCATCAAATTCCGCCAAGATTTCCTAACTTATTCTGAACCACAATATTTTTTAAAATTGAAAAATGTGTGGAATCTTATGGAAATTATAATTTTAGACCCCTTCTTGTAAAATATAGAAATTATTTTAAATGAATATCTACTCCGACTTTTTTTTTACCGATTTTTAATTTTTTATTGATGAAATAACGCGGGTCTCGTTTTTTCCATGTGAATTCGGTTGAAATTATTTTAGACAGATTCGGTTTAAAATTTGGAGTATCCGATCTGTGATTTTCTTCCTTGATGAAACAGGTCTCGTTTCATTTTTTTTCCTGTGAATTTTGTTACATTTCATGATAAATTTTCATCAAATCGGCACGTTTCGAATGTAAAATAGCGCGTTTCGCAGTATACGATGAAATTGAAAATTTTATTTTTCAAAACCCACTTTCAGTCCTGCATGAATAATGTCGGCTTCTTAGCATTGGAAGGCTGAATTTTCTGAAATTGATTTAGATTTAAAATGATGAGAAATTTGATTCAATAAGACCTTAAGCTAAATTTTGGATTTTTTTATTTCAGATGTGGCAGAGAAGGTGGATTGTGTTGCGTCGAGCGACGAGCGAAGGATCTACTCGCATCGATAAATACCCCGATCGATTTCAGCACAAAGATGCTGCCACTTCTACCCCGGACAAGAGACTCAATATTTTGCCCAAGTCAACCCTGGAGTTGAAGGATGTTTCCCGAGTTAGCAGGTTGCCGCTGGAATTTTGCCCGGCCGGGTTCTGCGTGGAATTCAAAGACGGCAACAGCCGCACAATCGCCTGCGACACTGGTAAATTTACTTATATGAAAAAATGTCTCCGAAATTTATTGCCGAGAATTTGAAAAAAATCGAGCAAGAATTGAATTTTTTTTTTATTTGACATGGAACCGAAATTTGTGAGGCGGAATTCCTGCGAAACTCGGCGAAATATTCATCAATGCTTGAGAAAAGATTTCTCCATTATTATGCGATTAATTTTCTCCAAATGCACCTAGTCACCTTTTCACATTTTCGGGCTCCTTTCACATTATTCAGCATCTCGTGAAATTGTGAGGATTAGATATTGACTTCCAATTACGATATCCGAGACATCGATTCTTCATCGAGAGACTATACAATTATTATTTGAAAATTTCAACAGAGTTTTATATTGCCTGAAAATTCTGAAAAAGAAACAAGTGAAAAGTAAAGCTCATACCAACACAATCACAAACTGAATTTTCAACTGCGAAAATCGAATACAGCATATTCTAGACATTATGGAAGCTATTTTTCAGAAAAAATTATTTCTAAATCCCATCAATATACTGTACGAAACTTTAGAAAAAGAGAAGTACAAGACTGATCCAACTCGTTCAAGTGCAGGTATTTAAAGAAAATTTTATTGAATCTCTGTTTCTGAGGTCTGTTTTTGACTTTTGTACCAATGACCAGAGAGCGTTTTTTTCAAATTTGGCAAGTTTTTGAGCCGGTTTCTGAGAAATTATTGCGGCTCTCCTTTTGAATTCCTCGTTCCTTCCTGTTCTCCAAATGAGAAAAATGCATCAATTTACATCATGATATAGCTATGTTGGAATATTTAATCCGAATTTTTATTTGATGCGAAGAAACTTCCGGGTGCCTCAACGAAAACGTGATGCACGCATACGAAATTTTGATGTGACAAATGCCTACCGATTGAATTCTTGGAATTCTTTCGGGAATTTATTTCGAGACTTGGATTATTTCAGTGGTTTTTATAATATTGTTTTTTTTTGTACTGTTTCATCAATTGCAGAAAAAGAAGCTGACGAATGGATCGATCACATCATTCGTCTTTGCCTCACCCCGACACAAACTGGAATGCGAAACAACCGCCTTTTTGCGTCTATTCCAGCTCAATTTGACGGTAAATTTCTCAAAAATATCAGCCCATCGTTTTCATTCGAAGCAATAATTATCTAAAAATCTAGGTTCTTACCATTTTCGATATTCAAAAAGAAAAATTCGTAAGCCGTAGTAACTTTTACAAGATAAATTCCTCAAAAATATCAGCCTTCGTTTTCCACCTATAAGCAATACATTTCTGAAAATCTTGCCATTGTTTTTTTAAAAAAATCGACTACAAGAATTCACATTTGTTCCACAAATTTTCCTCTCGAAAATGTCAAAAAACGTGAACTAGCTGAAAATTGCAAAAGAGAGCAAGCGGTGGAGGAATTCCGGCGTCGACGAAATTTTGTGCGGAATATTTTGTCGATTAAACTAAACATATTCGTCTTTGAATTCAGCAATATGTTTATTCTGATGTGGTAACAATTTCAGAATCCCGGATTATTTTAAAACTCGGAAACATTTTCAGACGGCTGATGATCTCATTTTCTAAATGTATACATTTTAAAACGTATTTCGAAGCAAATGGAATTTCTGAAAATTTCCAGGAATGATGGTTCACATTTCATCAGAAAAATCATGCATCTACATTCTAATTTTCTAAATTCTGCACTCTGGGAACTTCACGTGATAAGAACAGCGTTTTCGTTATCACGATTAAAACCCCGCCGTATTGTGGGATCTGATTAGTCCCAGCGGGTCTGAAAGAAAAGTTGATTTCAACCCTCGTCAGGGATTTTTATCACTTCTCTCTTTCGGAGGTGCAGCTGCTGCTGCTGATGAAAATAAATAAATCCATGGTAAATATGATCGTATAAAGAACCAAAGAGTCACTAACTGCAAAGGCCCCACACAAAGTCTCCACAAGTTGCACATGGACTAGGGCAGCGTATTCTGCCACTATTCACCTCTCCAAAACAACGTTCACGCCCCGGATCGCATTTACTTGTGGGACATCGACGCTCCTCAGCTCAAGTTGCTCGAGTGGCCGATTTTGTCAATTCAACGCTTCGGTCGGGACTCGAAACACTTTTCCATCGACGTGGGAGGGTGAGAAAATGCATTTAAAATAAAAATGAGAAATACAGTGGTGCTTTCAGGCTGACAGTTTTCATCCGTTAAGTCCATAATACAGCATATAATCCTGCTATGTGAAGCTTTTTAGAATTTTTAATTGATTTCAAAGCCTCCTAAACTGTGTGACGTGAAGCTGTACGGAAAGGCTAATTTATCCCAGGTCTTGTGAATTTAAAAAAAAACTTGGCATAACTAATGCGTATACTAACGCCTCTAAACATCATCTAAAACTCTGTGATTATGCTTTTATTCCAGTCGTTTCCCTACCTGAAAAGAAAAAAATAAGTTTATTATCCTGCTTTTGATGCAATTCATTCGCCAGGAAAATTTTATTTAATCATCTCTCATGAAATTAAAACTCTGTGATTATGCTTTTATTCCAGTCGTTTCCCTACCTGAAAAGAAAAAAATAAGTTTATTATCCTGCTTTTGATGCAATTCATTCGCCAGGAAAATTTTATTTAATCATCTCTCATGAAAGCGTTATAATCCATTAAAATTCAAACTAATCGCTTTTGTTTGGGCTTAATTTCTTTTTCGCGAAAGGTGATCCGAATATATTTAAGTTAAATTATTATTGTATATTGGTTGATGTGAAACACGTACTGTACTGTTCATATACTGTAATATGAAAAAAATAAGCTGGGAACATTATTATCCATTGACATGGACAGCATTGCTGTTAATTAGCACTCCAACCAAAGCGTAATTATTGTCAGAATTGGGAAAATTTCGCGCTGGTCATCTACCAGGAATTCTCCTTCGGCCTTTTTCAGTGGAACGTTTCGAATGTATTTGTTGAATTTTCGTACGAATAGGAATTGCTTCACGGGTTCTGGAGTGTTCGTGTTCCGATCGAGAAGCGTGGACGAGATCCAGAAGCTGGTTCGTGGCGCCACTGCGATTCAGGCGAAGGAGCAGAATGAGAAGCACCACAAGGCCAGGATGTTGCACCAGCAGCAGTGTTTCGTGGACGGCAATTATTACAGCTCCAAGGCGAAATTGCAACTCACCAAGTCGTTTCCCGAGTCCGACACCCCGAGCGACGGGTTCGTCGTCGTCACCTCCGCCATCCGACGCATTCAAACCCACGGTACGTTNTTTTTAATTGATTTCAAAGCCTCCTAAACTGTGTGACGTGAAGCTGTACGGAAAGGCTAATTTATCCCAGGTCTTGTGAATTTAACAAAAAACTTGGCATAACTAATGCGTATACTAACGCCTCTAAACATCATCTAAAACTCTGTGATTATGCTTTTATTCCAGTCGTTTCCCTACCTGAAAAGAAAAAAATAAGTTTATTATCCTGCTTTTGATGCAATTCATTCGCCAGGAAAATTTTATTTAATCATCTCTCATGAAAACGTTATAATCCATTAAAATTCAAACTAATCGCTTTTGTTTGGGCTTAATTTCTTTTTCGCGAAAGGTGATCCGAATATATTCAAGTTAAATTATTATTGTATATTGGTTGATGTGAAACACGTACTGTACTGTTCCTATACTGTAGTATGAAAAAATTAAGCTGGGAACATTATTATCCATTGACATGGACAGCATTGCTGTTAATTAGCACTCCAACCAAAGCGTAATTATTGTCAGAATTGGGAAAAGTGTGCGCTGGTCTACCAGGAATTCTCGTTCGTCCTTTTTCAGTGGAACGTATCGAATTATAAACAACTTAAAAGCATGCTTATCCTTAACGAAGTGCCCAAGACCTCACAAGCACAAGGCTAGCTCTTCGCACCTGCTCTAGGTCTTCGACCAAGCACCGCGGTGACGCTAAGTCCGCTTCCTCGAGAATGAGAAGCACCACAAGGCCAGGATGTTGCACCAGCAGCAGTGTTTCGTGGACGGCAATTATTACAGCTCCTTCCGCTTTAACGTTGAGTGGTTCAGCAAAGGGCTCAGGCTGTGGGGCTCGCTGCCCAAGCAGCAGCAGTGGAGGCGGTAGGCTGCGTAAGTTTGGGTGCCATGCAAAGGCTTTTGCTTCGACGAAGAACATGCTGTAAATTTTCAAACATTGCTAGGATTACCATTTGGAAAAAAAGGAGACTTTAAAAATTAAATTTTTTTTTTAAAGGGGAACCGATAGAGAATATTGCCGATAGATTAATGTTGAAAATTGCTAATACATTGTAGAAGCATAAAATTGCGAATGGGAAGTCCCGATTTTGATAAATCTGAAGAACGAAACACCCGCCAACAGATGCTCAAGTCATAAACCGATCGACAAACCAACATGTCTTTGAATTTATCCATAATAGAGAAGAAATAAGGTGCAAAATAATTTAGGAGGAATTTCTTCAAAGTGTCCGCCGATATTTTCAAAAGAGTTTTTGACTGAGAGTTCAAACCGTTTTCCTTGATCAAAATAATTTTTTTCTTGTGTTTGATGTGGGTCGAAGCACTGTATATATTCAACATTATGTAATATGTTCGACATTATTGACTCTGATACATATTTTTTGCAAATCGAAAGAAAGAAAAGTTGACTACAAAATCAGAGACGCATTGTACAGTACTAGCTTGCAACCCCTTGGGCAGGAACGAAGTAATATACAGTAAAGGGGGTACTAAACTTTAATTCAATTTAAAATTAATAATTTTTTTAAACGCTGGGCGTCGATATGATATAAAAATGAAGGATCCCTAGTTTTCTCTTCTATTAAAATTAACCCTCTGGTTAATTAAACTCGTGGAAAATGGCACTTGACGAATGGAGATGAAAGTTATGAAGAAAGTGGATAGTTGCTTCTTGAAAGCATTCGCACTGCTTTTGACAGTTCGTTAATCATTCATTATAAGGTTTGAAAACTATTCAAGACGTTTTTAATTGTTGTGAGTGAGCAGGTGCAGGTTTTCCGGTTCGCCCACAAACTTAACATCATCAATATTCATTTAAAAAACACGAGCTCTGACTTTTGTTAAAATCTGAAACCGGGTGCGTTTAATTTTCAAGTAAATTCAGTACGTTTCTTCATTTGAATCATATTCGACGAAGGAACCGGGAAAAAGCACGTCATTTCACAAAATATTTCTACAAAATTTGCATTGATCTGCGACCTGAATTTTTTTTTTTGTGTGTGGAAACGTCAAATGTTCCTTGTCGAATATTTACGTTATTCCTCCGCAAATTTTTTCCATTGAGAAGATTGATGGAAAATCAATTTCGCTGCCCGTGTTCTGGCAAAATTCCAAAGGCTTTCGAAGAATATATTTTGCTCTCCTATTTTTTTAGATGGAGAAAAATAATCTTTTTTTTTTCCTTAATTCCAACAGGAGCTTTGATCCCCGGCGAAGTTTACGACGAAGCCGAGTTGCTCATGTTGCTGGACGACGACTCTGGAATCGACATAACAACTCCGTGCAACATCATTGTCAGTCATTAAAAATTCGTATAAACTTGCTGATCATGCTTCAAAAAAAAAGGAATGGGGTAAAAGGAACGAAACTCGACGGAGCATCGAGGAAGAATCAAACACAAAAAGCAACAACAAAAACGCATCGGAGGAAGAGTTGAATTATAAGGATTTGAGAGACAAAATCAAAGACAACTGAGAACGCCTTGCATTTTTCATTTTCTAAAGTAGAACTTTTTTTCTCTCGTTCATGTGCTGTCAATTTTTTTGCATCAGTTGCGAGGACTTCTTGATCAACAAGATTTTTTTTTTTTCAAGGATTTTTGCGTTGGATTTTCAGTTCTGTTCACATATACATGACGTTTTGTATTATAAGACTGCAGGGGCAAAAGACATTTCATGTCGGCTATAAAATGTCCCAGGCATTGCGTCCAAATGATCCAGAATCCAATTTTTGTTCGATTTTCGGGCGTTGTTTTTCTTCTGGTCATGTGTTGGTTCTTACCTCTATCGTTCGTTCGTAGAGCCAGTTTCAGCAAATTCTCGAAAACTTTCTTTTCGATTATTTTTGAGGTTTTTGCTTTCGCTTGGGTTTTTTTCTGATGATCTTGCGACATTATTATTATTTTTTTTCAAGTCGTCTGATGATTCCGATGAGACCACGGCGACTGCGGTTTTAATTTGATTATGTGTGTGCCCTGATGTAAGGTTTTTGTTTTGATTGTCCGGAAGTTTCGCTGGGTAGCAAAGATTTTTGCAGCTTAGTTGAGGTACGGAATAAAGTTTCATCTCATTCTAAAAGTTCGTGTGATGATTCAGTTTTCAGTCGGTTTACGCCACTTCCGAAATTTTATTTTATTTTTTAGCATTGCTACCTAATGAGCATTGCTAACTAGTGGAATACAGGATTCAGTATCGTCAATTGAACTAGGAATTAAAGAAATGAAAAAAAACTTTTCAGCATGGAAAAGTAGGAAGAAGCTCAGTTCGTCCTCGGCGAATATTAAACTCAACTCGAAATCCGTCAGTTCCGAAATTATCAAAAGCGTTGCATTCTTCGAGCAGTAATAACTTCCTCAAGCTCATTTCCACTTGATGATAGCTGTCGGATGATATAATGCCAAATTATAAGCCGATGTCGCACACATTTTATTGCTACGAAAATCCTCCACAAACGTTGTTCCTTCGAACTTTTGGACTCGATGGAATGAAAGTGAATCCACGAAAGCAAGTGGAAATGATTCCGGCATATTTAACCCACTTCTTCGTTGTCAATTACTGCAATTACTGTCGGCCGGTCCTGGTGCGATCGTCGGTGATCACAGTTTCGATTCCACAAAGGTAACCGGAGAAAGTACTGTATACAGTGTTTTCCTCAATTCCCCCTCGGGGGAAACCGAAAAGAAAATTCAGCACGTTTCTCTGCAAGTTTTATTTAGAGTTTTCATGGGACACCGACAACTTTTTGGTGATTGGAACGAAGTCAGCTGCAGTGAAAAAAAAAAATGAAGAGACAAACAGCAGAAATCTAGAAAAAAGACAGCAATCGGAAAAGAAAACATGCCCTCTCATTCATTGTAGCATTTTTTACGAAGTGAAACTGATTTTTCAAATTCAAAACATCGAAAAAAGCATCGGTATCATCCCCTTGTCCTTAATCTCCTTATAAACATAAGCTGCCATTATTTTTAGTGGAACTCAAGGGATAGGGGTAAAATTTCACCTCGCATCGTGAAAAGTGTTGCCACTTTTTCAAGTTTAATCGATTTTCATTTATATTTCCGCTTTTAATCCAAAAAGTTGCTGTGACGCAAAATTTAAAACAATAATTTGGCATCAGATTATGATGTGAATGATTGATTCACGGTTTTTTCTTTTTTAATTTGACAGATTCTGTGAATATTTCAAAGGCTGTTCCACTGCGTAATTCATGGATGACTGTAATATTGGCTAAAAATGCTCGAAAAGAAAAGATTCTGAAATACTTTATTTAATTGACTATTCAAATTTTCTAATTATTGTTCCAGGTAACCAAACAAGGAATGGTAGAAGGATTCAAATTCAGGACTTGACCCGACCTCATATAATCAGCATTTAATTTTTTCTCACAAAAATAGATAAGAGCAATAAAAATCATCAAGAGATTCAATTCATGCCTCTAATCAATCCATAAAGAATGCACCATTAATAAAAATGTCGATTGGATGTGGATTGGCACATACAAGTGATACATTTCTTTAAAAAAAAAAAAAGGCGAGGCATATATAAACCAAAATTTTCTGAGATCGAAAAGCAGCGTCAAAGTGGTTACAGAAAAAAAAAATTAGTGTTGGACTTCTGTTTGACACTTTTAAAACACTTGGGGTTCTTTTTGACTAAATTGAACTGCTCTGAATCAAAGTTGAAGGGACTTTGAAAATTGACTAAAAGGAAATTTTTGAGTCAGGGAACACGACTTGATACCTACTCAAAAACAGGCTTCTTCTGTCCTTCTCTTCACAGCGATTTCACATGAACTGTGTGTAGTATACTGTATATGTAATTTTTTTAAAATACAGTTTGTACTCCTCTTCAAGCCTAAATACGGCTTTATTTCTCCATCTCACGATTAAAGTAGCATTTTTATTACATTTTTCAGGCACGTTTTCCAATTCGGTTTTTCCCCCCCGCAAAGTATGAGAAGGGATTATACAAATGACCTTATATTGAAGTCAAAGGAAAAATCCACTTCAGCATCATGCAGGCACTCTGACGCATAATGGTCACAGTCCCCACAACTAATCATGTCCGCATCTCGGGGGCCCCACTTTACAGTACTAATATTCTCGATTCGCAAAAAAAAAAAGCAGGGCGAGAATGTGGCACAATGACAGGGCTTTAGTGGGTTGACTTCCCCCCACCACACACATACACATACAAAGAAGCATCCAACAGCAATCAAGCCCGGGAAAATCGATGAAAATTTTCTGTGATGCCGAGCGAGACATGACGTCGGGGTAGGTTATTTTACTTTTTTTTCTTCTTTGTGATGTTGTGTTGGAAATATAATATTTCCCGCCCCCCCCCCCCCCACGCTGGTTTAGTTTCCAGGTAAGGACAGGTGTGCGGTTCCCAGGAAGAGCCCTCACATGGCACGCAAACCAGGCCAGGAGAGCGCTGGTGCTGCTGCTGGGGAAGCGCAACTCCCTCCTTTGGTTGGCGGACTGCTTCGTTGTTGGGAGGCGATTGCACGGCAGCGAACTGCCATTAGCTGGGTTCTGGGCACCGCAAAGCGTTTTTTTTTTTTTTAAATTTTCTTTTCAAATTCATGCTGATGATGATGATGGCCTGTAAAACGCGCTGTTTTGTGGTTTATCCACAAAAGAAACTGAAAACAGGATTAAAACATGGAGGAAATCAAATGGACATTCTATATACAACAGAGGGTGGACAAAAAAGTGAACCAAAATGTTTGACTCGAAATAGATCAGTAGAAAATTAAGCTGTGGCAATGAAAGAAAAAGCACCAAATGAAAGCTTGTTCAATTTTCTTTCTGGCGGTATGCAGGTTTATGGGCCCCAATAATAAGTGCCACACCATGGTCACAAGAACTATTTGAATGAAAAAGTTTCAAGAAAAAGTTGTCAGACAATTCCTTCCACTATAACAATAAGCTGCTGTTCTCCTGAGCTGTTTTTTGTGGATTAATCGGGTGCAGGACCAGTAATTTAACCAGCAAACTTCATTCTGCATCCAAGAAAGTGCACACATTCCTAAAGTTTTAAAGGTGGGGTAAGAAGTGCAAACAAAATTTATTGAGCAGTAGGAAGTTCATGATGATGCCAGCTTCATGGCTCCTGTGACCCCTGCATGCAATTTTATTTGGTATGACTGCATTGCTCAAAACCAGTTCCACTCATCAATAATCACTATGGCCAGTCATCACTTTTGTCATCATTGGAACATCATTGGAACAATTGGAACAAGTTCCCATTTTCTGATCATCACAAATGCAGAAATCATCAAAAAACACAGGCATCAAAATAAGTATGAAACATTCACTGCTATACATGAATTTGCACCATGTTGAGCACACATCAACCATGAGCATTGCAATAAATGTGGGAAACCAATGTGGAACAATCCAGTCATCCCAAAAAAAAATTGGCATGCAGGGGGTCAGCAGCAGGTCACAATTGAGAAATTTCAAATTTCTCAACTTGCAATTTTTTGAAGAGAAAATTTCAAGTTGAAATGCATATGTGCTCACCCCTTACACAGGGAAATGTGTCATTGGTATTAATTCAGTTATCTAGAAGTAATACCGTAACATCAAAGCCAGTTGAAAAATGACAAAAGGCCTACACTTTCCATATCCAGAAGAAAAAGGAAAAAAAACTTTGCACATTTTGCCACACATAGTAAGCAAATAAATGATAACTAAAACACTGGTGTGCAGGAGATTTTGAATTCGACTTGGCGCTGGAAGGTTGGGATCCTGGTGTCATTTTTATTCGAAAATAGTTCTGATAATTTTTATTTTCTGCGGAATTGACATTGGACAATCTCAGGTTTGAAGCCAGTCGGACTTTGGATAGCGTCTGGCTGGAGCAACGGGGCCCAATGGTCCAGCGTTTTCAGCAGGTATCAAGCAGTCACTGGCTCGGAAGTCAGCGAGTGCGGAACTTGTTGAAGTCATGAATCATCATACCTGAGTTTCACTTAGCTTTTATTCCTCTTTTTTTGCACAGTTTCCAGGCCTTTGCCTTCATCTTCCAGCTCCGGTTTGTTGGCTTGACCTGGTTTTTTTTCAAGTGTTGACATATGTGCTGAATTCCACAAGTCTCACACTTTGTTTGAGAAATTTCTCCAGAATGAAAAAAGATTGACCGGGATTTCCCTCGTTGAACTCTTGCCCCCTTTTGGGTTTGAATACCGTATCTCGAGGTTATGTGAGGAATTTGGCAGACTTATGGTCAAAGAGAGCAAGCACAATATAAGGCAGAAGAAACTTTTTTATTCCTGTGTCACGGAATTTCTCAGAAGCTTGCGAGGAAGTGATTTGCAGGTACTGTAGTTTTTTTTTTGCCTAGGGGAAAATGTTTCACCCTTTCCCATTTTTGTCGACATCATAAATCACTCCCGAGGACGAGGTTTCTGCTGGAATTTTTCACCTGAAGTTTTTGTTGTTGTTGCAGATTGAAGTGCAGGTAAAAATAATCGAAGTATGGCTGAATTTTTAAAGGCAGAACGTTCACTCCAATAATGACATTCCGAAACTCAATCTTTAATGGGTTATACATTTTTAAATGTTGGCATTTGTTCTCGACATTCACTTGCATAGTTCTAACTATATCCAATTTTCAAAATTTGTCAGAATCTTCCTGGTGAAAAATTAATCATTTTGTTTTAAAGAAAATGCTTGAAGCTTGTAACAATCTTAAAAATTCCAGCAAAAATGAGCAGTAT